ATCTTCATACTGTAAACATAAATGTGACAGTGCAAATCAAAGGGGTGTATATAAAATAACTCTGAATATTTCTCGGTGTTAAATACAAGTACACTACTGATACAGTGACAATGTGTTAGAGTACACATTGATACATTTTTTCAAGTCCCTCAAATTAAATATTGCATTTTGTATATTTTTGTCGACATATTTAGGGTACATCTAACACATTTTCTAATTGATCAAAATGCTACGGTCTAATAGCATTATAGCATCACTAACATATATTCTTTATATTATATACTAGTGTTAAATCTTACGTCATTAAATATATACTCGAGATCCGTATGCATGTTGATCTTCGTTTGCACCCTACGTAGCTAACCGCGCCAATCGGAGGTGTGGAGGAAGGAGAACAAACTAAACGAAAAAAAATCAGTTCTAAAGAAGTTCGTTTTTAATCTAGCTTTAACAGTGCATAGCGACAGTGGCTTCCTAACATCGCAATGAAGAGCGTTCCAGACGGCCGCAGAAGCGCATCTGAAAGCGCGCGACGCGGTGACCGCATCGCCGCTCGATGGTTCGCCAACAAGACGTGCGTCTCTACATCATTAGACCTCCTTTGCCAGTACCAAAGGGTCGAGGCTCAAAAGAAAGCCGTCCCTTGGTGTGGACCAATCAGTTTCAAGGACAATGCATATATTATCATAGTATGTTTTTTGTTTGCATTTTGACTGCAGGTATTGTGGTTAATGCAGACATGAATCCTTGTAAAAAGGTTTCAGTTTTGTTGCCAGAAAAAAAGAGGAGAAACCCTATTATTAAGCCGTGCGTCATCAGATGAGCCGAACAAAACATTGATACAAATAGGTCAGTAGGAAGGAACTGCTGGCATCGTTACAGCCGTTGCGAGGAGCCGTGGGTACGGCGATGGTGCCAGCTTCCCGTTGTGCCCACCACTCACGTGAGCGAGTGGGCCCTTAGGAGGCGACGCAGGAGCACCACGACTCTCGCTGCCCGGCAAAATCTCTGCAGGGCCCCCAGCTACGAGGAAGCACAAACCAGGCAGGGAATAAATGTTTTGCATTTTGTAAAAAAAAACAAAAATTACGTGAAGATATGTAAATATATCGGCTTATTTTCTTAGCCCTTCATATTCTCCGCAACGACGCACGTGATTTATTTTGAGACTGAATCGCGATATAATATTGCATCCAACTAGGGACCCCCCCCCCCCCACCCCATTGTGTGAATAGAAGGTTGTTGCCATTCAAATCGGCACTTCACGAGCATTGATTCCAGCGAGTCTGACTCTGGGGATGAGACAGAGTTTTCTCGTCTTGAAATCAATGCCGCTCGCTGGTTGTGTACGAGATGCATTGTGCAGAATGGATGGATGCGTGAAGACGATATCGCTGATTTATTTCGATACAGGTAACGCTCAGATTTACCTTGAAGGGCAGCATGTTATCACTCACCCGTGCTTGCGAAAATTATCATTGAAATGGGCTCCCATATTAAACCGTGATTTTGGGGACACCCTTTTTATATATAAAACTTTTCCGTTCCTTGTACGTGGCCAGAATTCGGAGCCTCTTCTTTCCAGCTCCTGGCTTCGGTGAATTGTGTTGCTGCTTTTTAATGAATTCACGCCAAGTGTGGATTTCTCGCGTGCGTTAAGTGACATGCGTCCCCCCACCACCCAACTCCACCTTTGTCTTTGAAAAGTTCATTAGTTTTTATTTATCAACATTAAAGTTGCAACGTTAAATGCATTACAATATCTCATTTTAGGGAGTTTGTAATAGCAGGGTTATTCGAGCTAGTTGTAAAGTGGCATTTGGAAGGTAATGACAGACAGATATATCTGGTAATCTATATTTTTATCCTCGATTTGATGGTTTTCAGATTCCCTCCTTTAATTTGCTTCTTTTTCTCACCCTTCCCTTTCTCGGTTCCTCCTATTCACTCGCGTTACCGCCTTTCGTATTTCTCTGCTAATATGTAGTGTGATACGTTTACGGGTGCATTAGAGATGCAAGTTGTTTATGCTAGCCACGGGTCGGTTATCGGCAGCTGCTCAACTTGTGTCAGTGACTCAGTGCCCATGTGACTTGCAAACGTGCATGGAAAGTCAACCGATTACTTTAAGAAACAATAAACAGGACGATGTAATCCACATCACTCCAATTCTACACAAGTAGAGAGGATATTTGTGAAGCCTAATTTAAATTTGTATCTGTGCTTTTGGACGACCACTTTATATTCTACAGTGGTGATACTCCTTTTTATTGACCCCGTAAAACAAAGATGTGTGTTTGAGTGGTGGTGCAATGGTTATCGCATTGCGCTATGAACACAGCCAACCTGAATTTGATTCCCGGCCACGCGCGAGCATCGGTTGCGAGTTGATAACAGAACCGGTTCTGAGCCCTCCATTTCAGCAACCCCACCCTCACCAGCGTGGTCAAGTATGGCCAAACAACACTCGTGACCAATAAGGGATTGCATGGGAAGGTTTCATAGAGAGGCGAAATTGACAAGCGACTGTCAAATACAAAAAAAGTGACCTGCAACCGGTATTGGAACTCACGACTCTGTGAGTTGAGCGCTCCTCTAACCACAGTGTACCGCCCAGTTCTCGAACAGCAACAGAACATCGCGATCGACCGGCGAACCTACTTGCTGTGCTCCCACGCTCCTGCCACCTCGCAGCTGTCCGCAGGACGACGTCGGCCCCGGCTTGCGTCGCGGCTCCCCGAGCGCGTGACCCCGGGGGACGGCGGCCCGCGTGTACCCCGTGGCCCCGGGTCGGCGGGCCCTGCTCCCAGGAGGTCGTGGGTCCGAGGTTCGCTCTGCACCGCGACTCGCGTCTCCGACTTCCCCATCGCCTTGCACGTGGCAGAATTCTGAGTCTACTCTCTCTTGACTTCTGGCATCGGCGAAGTGCCCTTTGTCGACGGCTCGTCAAGCCCGGTGTGGATTTCCCTTGCGTGAAATGACCGTGTCCCACTCCTCCTTCGATGAGTTAACTTAACCTGAGATGATTTTTGTTGCAAGTATCACAATGCGCTATTGCGTACTATGCTGTCGCTCCACGAATGCGATTTCTGTAACGCAACATCAACGCATACGTCGGTTACGCAAACAAAAGTATTAGCGACTTTAGCGTCCAATTGCTCTCTGCCGTCAAGTCATCTTGCGCGCAAATTTCGTAGCCACGTGTGACATCGAGCTCCCGTTGAGGTTCTTCATTTAATTGAACTCGGGCGATCGTGCGCTCGCTCCGGTAGGAGACCCCCAGCCGCTCCGCGGATCGTGCTCATCGTTGCCGTAGCCAAGACGAGCGGTCGCACAAAGCGCTCGCAGCCGAACGTTTGGCAGCGGTCGGCTCCTTTTTCAAAGCAGCCCGGTCTTCTGGATGTTGTTATAAGCCGAGGGGGGAGGTGGTGGTGGTGGTGGTGGGGGTTATTAGGGTGTGAAGAATGAGATGGGGGGGGGGGAGAGAGAAAAAAACTCCGAATGGAAACTGGAGCCGTGCTTGTGAGGACGGGGTGGGCAGACGGGGTTGAGTCACTACGAAACGCTCGGCGTCTATAATTTTCGTGATGATCCGGTCTATTTGACCGCTGCCTTATCGAGACAATGCTGTCCGGTCTGTGCTTGCGCGACCTCTGTTCTCTGCCAAAGGGCAGGCCCATGGCTCTAGTTCCATACATTTTATGTAGCGTGCCCACCATGTCCTACCCCATTCCCCACCTCCCCCCCCTGCGCTCTTCATCTTGATGATTCACATTCCCTGCTCGGGTTCTCGAGCACATTTCCGGGAAAGGGCAATTGCGTTTGTATTCCCCTTGCTTTTCTAAACGCTCTTTTTGTTGGCATGGGATGCGATTAATGTCAGGACAAAAATGCAGACCACCAAAATCGCCCAAAAAATGTCAACTTGCAACGCTCCGCACGGTAGTCGCTCTCTCGCTCTCGAAGACAGAGAGCGACTCGGAGGCAGTCGAAGGAACCACGGAGAAGTAGGAACTCCGTCAGCCAGACAAGGAGCCTGCGCCAACCCCCCCCCAACACCCAAGCTCTGTGGTCCTCTATGTATGAAGGTCAGTTTAACACGTCGGCTTTCGCGACCAATATTATTCATAAGAAAGTTTGTTGGGTTATATCGCGTCAGTATGTGTCGTAACCCTCCACCACCCGACACAGCCGGTAAGGTTTGTCACGTAAACAAAACACGCCAATTGGTTGCTACTTCAGCCCACTGGTGTGTTGGAGAGTAAACCCACAACATTTACAATTTGAGTAGTACGACGTTTCGCTGGTAATTACACATGATGATGCTGGAGATCATAATCGACGTGCTTTTTAATAACCAGTCAGGATGGATAACACGATCAAGTATAACTGTTTGTACGAAGCTGTGTGTAAAGCTAGACCGATATTTAATCTGCGTGGATTAAATATCGGCCGTTCTATAGGATTCGGGGGGGGGGGGGGGGGGGGGGGGGGGCGTCAGGCGAACCTACGCAGGTGGGGGGTGGGGGGGTGTAAAAAGGCCGCGTGCGTACAGGGAGGAAGGGAGGGATCAAGTTTTGACAGATTTTTGCGTGCCTACTCCATGGTTGGCTCCCTGAGTGCTTGGATGATGGGCGACCACCAGGGCTTGTCGCGTTAGGTAGGGCGTGGGGGGGTGGGCAGGAGGTGGCGGTATCGATCGTGGTGGAGGGGGGGGGTGCGCCAACCCCACCACCACCTCGCGCGTCTGGGTATATTGGGGGGCATTCTCCGGGGTTGCTCTCGCACGAGGCCGACCTCTGATTCGTGGGATGATGAGGCCCAAACGTCCCCGTGCACAGTGAAGGCCTCGAGACCCAGCGAGGCTCTCGGTAAATAATTCATCGCGAAGGCGCCTTGACCTCACGCTGATGTCGGAGAATTTATATTTCACGAAGCTACTTTTAAGTAAAACCGAACCCAGCAATGCCGCGTGTAATTACTGCAAAAGCAAATATTTGTGTTTTTTCCATCTGTTTTTATTCATTGTGTAGTTTGCGGAGACAATCAGCAGTGTTTGCGTGTGATGTTTTTTATCCATTTGTTGTGCTCTTGCCATTTATCGGCTAATGAACACCAAGTTGGACGTTGTGTTAAAGGTCGACTCGAGTGTTCCCTTCATCCAAGCTGGCTTAGAATAAAACTCAGAATGCATTGCTGTCGATAGTAAAATAAATATCATTAGACCTTTAATTACTATGATTTAATAGTTAAAACATGCTCAATGTTAGTTTTATTAATCTATCTCTCGTCTGTGTCGGTTAGTACACGGACAGAAATTCTTCTGGCTCCTGCACAACAGCTGATCTCAGCGACACCCATTTCTACAGCGGTCATGTCCTCTCGAGCGCTTTCTGCTTTCGCTGCCATTCTGTCACCATTCTTGCCATTATAGTAGATAAATACTGCGTGTATAGGTCCTGGTAACTGATTTGTGTTCATGTGAGTGTTTAAAATAACTGTATGCCTGCGGTAGATATGTGAGCAGTACACTTTACTACAATTCTCGTGACCCCAGGACGATTCCTGGCAGGGACGCATGCTGCCACTCACAACCATCATGCTCCGTGGACTCATTCCTGCCCACCTCCTTCACTTCTCAGACTCACTCTACTGCCCTCCATGCACTCGCTGCTTCACCAACAAAAACTTCCTGCCGAAGCTCCCCGGTCAACCTTATCTCTGTGGGAGGTCGCTGATTCTCCTATACTGCCTTCCCCCTGCCATCCGTGCTGTAGCACCCCCGGCCCCTATACAAGGGGGCCAGACTCGAGACCTTTTTTTATTTTCCATTGCGACTGCCTCTGTCCAAACAAACCCAGTTTCGCGACTGCGTCTCGAGATGGGATCGCATTTGGACGCTGCATAGATCTACATTTTGTTGTGGCGTTTTTGTATCGAACTGGTCCCGCTGGCCTCCATCCCTAGGTTCACGTCGCCTAAAAATGAACACGCGGCGGTGTGGCCAGCACCTCCGACCGAACTTCGAGTTGCTCCCGGCCTTCCGCGATTTGTCGCCAGCGATCGATTCACTTCCGCAGCGCACTTGAGGCGCAGGCTGTGTTCTGAAGGCCATGACTACGCGCAATCGCGAGATATAGATAGCCTTCCGTGCCGTACGGATGGTTGCAAATACCGAAATGTGCTCGTGGATGATTTTATTTAATAGGTTCTCGCTTAACAGAACTTGTCCCCAAATGGGTTTATCCCGATCACGAATGTTAGGCTCGTGTGGTTGCGGGTTGGCTGTCTAGCCCCATGCACTGGCAGGGTTGACTCATTGGCACTGCACCCTGGACGTGTGGTCTAAATAAAAGTCACCATGGCTCGAGACCCTGACCTCTGGACCTACCCATCCATCCCGCTGAAGTCTAACCTGTTGTATGTATTCACAGAGCACTGATAATGAAGGCAAAGCATTATATAGAATGTGTGCAAAGTAGATCACTCCGGCTTAGCAACGTGTATATGCGTGCATTGTAAATGAAAGCAAATAAACAAAACGCATCACTAAGGCTGGCTTCTGCGTCCACTGATGGTCCGTGGATCATTAATCTAAAACGCAGAGAGAGATGCAGGCACACATTAGGTTCCAGACAGCGGTGGTGCTGGTCGTACGAAAATTAAGCCAATGCTTGGAGGCCCAAGCGGCTGAAGAAGCCCAAATGGAAATACAAATTTGGGTCAACCAAATATAATCTTGAATTCAGCTCCCAAAAATAAATCATAATTAAAAAAAATGCACGTAAACCAGTTAATTCATGACCCATAGTTAGATTTTAGGTTAGGTTGTGTGGGTATAATGTCAATATTTTAACCATAACCCTCCACCACCCGACAGAGCCAATAGAATAACATTGTCATGTGGGCAAACCTTTCAATTGATTGTTTTTTTTTCAGCACACAGTACTGGAATGTTGAAAAGCAGGCAAAACTTTGACAGTCTTGTACAACGTTATTTCGCTGGAGATTACATTCAGCCAGTGGTGTAGTGACAACGTTATCAGCTCAGGAGGTGCTGCAATTAGTCAGATGGGGCCCCGATATTTGATTTATTTCGCACGGTCGCATGCAGGATAATATCTATCGCGGGCTCCTCTTGCCTAATCGCATCGTCGTTACGCTCACGGTCTCGGACATTTAACGCTGTAGGGACGCTCCGTCTTCGCCAAAACAGTCACCACAGCGCCGTAGTACACTCTTTGCAATATAATTGACGTGTATCTAATGACATAAATATCACAGGAACAGAGTTCTAATGTGAAAGCATTATCATAATTTTACATTTAAACCGCGTTTTTAAGTAAGTGTTGTTCTTTTACACTTTTGAAAATGTCTCTTGGTGGTTGTTAAGGGGGCCCCCAACTCGTAGCTTTGGCCACGACTTGCCCACATGCTATCTAGGCACCTGAACATCATAGCTCCCACAATGCAACCCAAAATAAACTAATCAGCGACGTCTATTCGTGAGCGTTGGGGCATTGTTTAACATTCAGTGTCTCCTGCGTTTTGAAGTTGAAACGTATATTTTGAATGCTTGGTCTATTTTTACTTCACATGTTTTTAACATGTACTTCACATGTATTTCCTACATTCGTTTCGCGACCAGTTGAGTGGAACCAATCACCGTCGTTGAGGCGTGCTCCTGTAATTCCCTGACGTGCATACCTGTCAACTCCTGAGCAGTGCCAACTTTATTACAGACCAATTCAGACCTTACTGGTCACCCGCTGTCCTTATAAATCTCAACGTTCATCCTACAAAGTCCCATCACAAGGGAGAAACGCACAACAAATTGACAAAAAAATGTTTGCCCGTATTAAAACGGCTTTACGCCGTATAGGCCTTAAAACGAAATTTCCCTGTACAAGAATACGGTGTAAAGCGTGTGGCTTGACAGCTATGAGACGTGTGGCGACGGGCCGATACGCTAGACGTCATAAAAAAAAATACCAAGTTTCAAGGCTCGCCCGGCTGGCAAGCCTCACGGTGAACGCCCTCGTTTTGACCCTCGCGCGCCCTCTTCTGGAGAAGGGCGGCAACGCCTCCCTCGATTTCGCCGTTCTCCGCCTCGCTTCTTCCCGCTGGAGCCCGTGCTCGATCCACTGCTGCCCCCTGCCGGGCAAAAAGAGAGCGCGCGCGTGTTCAGTGACAACACAAGGGGTTGGTGTCCCATTGCCCCATTGAGTTCTTCTTGTCCTCTGAAGCCAAAGGGGCAGCCGGACTCACAACTTGGACATCGATTTAACCAGGAGTTGTTAGTCAATTAATACCCATATTGAAAGAGCGAGAGGAAGTTCAAAATAAACACACAAAATAACTTTGAATATGGACGTGTTTTACAATTTTTACGATCAGGCCAAGTTAGGAAATATCAGATGATCTGAATGTTGCGGATTGATTTGAAATTATGACACCACGTGAAGTTGCATCACTTTCATGAAGCCACTGCTGTGCTGTTCCCACCATGAGTGAAGTCACGTGGATAGATTTTCAGATCGTCAACAGTGTACGTGTTGATGTAAACTGAGACAGTCAGAATTGTAAGAAAAAAATCAGAAGTAACTTGAATCCTATTTTCTTTAAAACCTGGAACTCATTCCTACAATTTAATAATCCGTGAAAACTTCCAAACAAGTCACGTCATAATGTCTCCAAAATCAAGCGAGGTAGCAGTGTCTGTTGGCGTCTCTGAACCAGTGGTGGAAATTCCACATTCCTGTGGCAGGCGGCGGCCCCTCTATAAGCACACACACAGTTGCGTTCTTGCATTGTGGAACTCGTTTTATTGACACAGAACACGATGGTACCTTTTTGTGCAGGAAAACGGGCTCTTCCATGGACTGGATGTCCCCTCCATAATAGAGGGATTTCTTCTGTTGGGTGAATAACATTTAGACGTGCATGATGAATACTATGCAAGGCACATTTGATTCACGTTAGCTAAAGAGTATACGGGTGAAGTGTTGGTGCAGTGATTAGCAAGCTGCACTATGAACCCAGTGACGCGAGATCTATATCCCAGCCACGGATAACAACAGTGGCAACCGATCTGGCTCTCCTAACCTTTGACCTACCTGCACTGACCAGCGTGGTGAAGTATGGTAAGAGGAGAGGGAGGTCTTCATCCATTGGTGGATTGAGAATGACCGGAAGTTATAATTTGTAATTTATTTTTACAAATGAACGCATGTCATCATCACTGTCATCAGGCTGTTAATGAGAAACGATTTGAAATAACATTCGTAACAGTGACAAAAACGAATATTAGTGGATTCCAAGAGCTATTATGGGATATATTAACAAGTCAAATTGCTAGTGAACTGCACCGTGACCTGTGCTTTAGGCTTGTCCATCCCCGCACCTGCGATTAGCACAAGTTGCCTACGTACGGCGCGACGGAGGTTCCCCATCCATCCGTGCACGTAACTTTGTGCACCCGAGTTCGACAACCCGATGAACGGGCCCTGCCTCAGCTAACCCGCCCCTGCCCAGCGTGGGTGAAGCACGCGATCAAACAAACCACCACGACCAGGGCTTGTCAACCTGCGGCACGGAGCCACGTGCGGCTCTTCCAAGGACTGCTTCGTGACCTTGCAATATCTACGGCACCTTTTGTTGTGCTGACGACGTTATCTAAACGCAGACAGGTTAAAGCCTCTTCTTATTTTTGTCATCATTTTGATACTGGCAAACAAACAAAAAGGTCACGTAGACACGTCTAATGCTCTGATACTTCCATAATATAAGTTTATTTTTGGGTTAGATCGCATTAATGTGAATGTCCTCAAGCGTTGAGAAATATATTTACATTTACACAATATAACCCAAAAAACCGCAATGGATTATATTGGTCGCGAAAGCCTACGTGCTCTGATACTTGCTTTGCCGTTTTCTGGTCTTAACACTGGTGAGACAATGCCGTAAAGAAGGATTTCTCTGGTCTAGGCCAATCAGTTAGAAAGACAATGCACACATTATCAGTGCATGTTTGTTTGCATGTTGTGCCACAATTATGTGTGGTTAATGCAGTCTTTGATGCCTTGCAATCAATCGGTGGTTGAACATCTTAACACCTGTTTTATTGTCAGAACAGGTAAAGCCTATTCTTTATTTTGACGAGACAGTATTTATTAAGGACCGTCTAATATTCACGTGCATTGGGGCTCTTGAAATATTGCATTTTTTTTACCGAATTCGAAAGAAGTGGCCGTTCTTGTTTTTTTTTACAATATAAGCTCTTTTTCAGATGATGCCTCAACGAAGTGGCTTATCATCTCGTGGAAATATATTGCAGCCAGATACTGTAAACGCATGTTTCTAAATGTGGAGGTAAAAAAAAACCGGAGGGCCAGGAGAAAAATCCACGCGACCATGGGGAGAACACGCAAACTCCAAATATACAAGCATCGTCAGGGTCGAACCCACGATCTCCTGCATACCAGGCGAGCGAGTTAACATCTCGCAACTACTGCCCATGGGCATGCGGAGGAGGCCGTTCCTCCAGCGCTGCTGCTTCAGTGTGCCAATCATCAACTCCGCGGGCGGTACAATTACGTGGCCTATCTACGCGGCTCCTTCATCCACCTGAGATTGTCGCGTGCCGCCGTCGTCGCGAGAGCCTGGCGGGGGGAAAAATGTGGTGACTCCTCCCTTGGCCTCGTCGACTCCCAGGGCCACGAGCAGAGCCCCCAGGGCACAGAGACACACGCACGCGCCCCGCAGAGACATCTTCCTCTTACTCTGTAGGGGCAGTTAAGGGGACACGCGTGCACATCGCAATGGGTATGATTCGCAAGTTTTTTTTTTTGCTCTCGTCATGGTCAAAACAAAATGTTCTCTCCTCCCGCCGTGAAACTTCACGAGTTGATTCCTCAAACCCACGTTGAGGCCTCGGTCACCCAGACACGGACCGTTGCGTCTCATCCACACCGAATTGAAAACTCATTTATTGTTTAGAATTGCTCTTTGTGATTAGTTTGTTTGTCTTTCCGCCGCACCTCCCGATTCGCACGTTTGGCTACGTACGGTACGAACAAAGTTCAACATGCTTGTACATACATACTGTGTTCAACCACCACCACACTGCAGGTCACAACAACGAACTCAATTACTTACTCATTCACTAACTCAGTCACTCATTCACTCGTTTACTCACACAGTCACTAACCTAGTCACTCAATCACCCATTCACTCACTCACCCACCCACCCGCTCACCCACTCACTAACCCACTCACCCACCCACTCACTAACCCACTCACCCACCCACTCATCCACTCGCTCAACCACTCACCAACCTACTCACCCACCCACTCACTCACTAACCCACTCACCCACCCACTCACCCACTCGCTCACCCACTCACTAACCCACTCACCCACCCACTTACCCACTCACCCACTCACTCACTAACCCACTTACCCACCCACTTACCCACTCGCTCAACCACTCACCCACTCACTCACTAACCCACTCACCCACCCACTCGCTCACCCACTCACTCACTAACCCATCACACTGCAATACTTCTCTTTGTGCTTCTTTCCTCGCATTGCCCCGCTATGAAATTATCTTTCATCGTCGCATTTGTCAAATTCTTACAATCTTTACTCAATTCAAGAAATATTAACTCATGTCAACAACGACCTCAAATCTTTCTGTTTGTTTCTGTCTGCTAGCCATGTTTTGGCCTTTTGGGCCTGTGGAAGGCTGATGTGACATGCCCACACACACACAGAACAATTTTTGTTTATTTCATTAATTGGTTGTACATGATATATAAAAGTATTTTTTATCACATTAATGCAATCGCGTGGTATTGCAACATACTAAACCTTGGGCAAATGTACGTTTCAATGAATGCCTCTCGTAATTGATATCGCGGTGTATTTAGACACGCCATTAATTAATCTGATAATTATCATGACGAACGAACACAGACAAAGATTCGGGCAGGGCAGGCAAGGCTCACCAATCGGAAATCTTGACTTGGCGGGCTGGAAAAAAAAGCGGTATCACCCAAAGCTGATGCTCTTCGGGGAGCGTTGGTGGCCTTTGCATTTAAATACTCTGGCGAAATGTCTCACCTATTTGTGTCTTCTTTCTTATCGCTGGCTCCATCGCATGACGCAAGTCACGCGAGGGCCGCGCCGCACTTTTACCGCAAGAGTGTTTAAAAAAAAGAACATCCAGCAATACGCGTCTCACATCTCAAATTGTTTTCTTCCTCCACTTGTCCAAAGCCATAAACGGCTGCTGCTGATGATGATGTTACCACAGCAGCAGCAGCAGCAAAACATTGGGCAGCAAAGTGCTGTGGCCATCATTGTTTGATCGGCCATTCGAGCCACTGTCGTCGAATAATTATAATCCGATCGATCGCACCGTTTTTATTTTCTTGATGGCTATATACAATATATATTTATCTACAAAAAACTCCCGATACTTAAACGTCACCGTTGAGTTTGCGAATTCGTTACGCGTTTTCTGTATCTCTGCTTGTATGTATGTACGTATGATTTCGGTATTAAAATTTTGTGTTAATTAATAAAAAACAAAATCCATGCTACTGTTGCTGCAGTGTGTACTGCATGCATTTACCCACATGCCCATTGGCACGCTGCTTTCTAAAAACACACATGCGTGTATATTTCAGACTGTGTTATTTAAACGATATATATATAAACAGGTCAATATTGATCTAAGAAACGTTGCCCAATGGCCATGAATAGTGACGGACACGGCCAGGTAATGGAACCGAATTCAAAGGACATCCACCAGTGAGATGGGCACTGATGATCTAACCACGTGTGCAGGCGGATTATTACATCACAGAGCGGAGAGATGGTGACCCTTTATCCAGCAGTGGATTGACCATGGCCGATCGACGATCGCGATACGAGCCCTTATCGAAATGCTGCGCGCACAAAACGATTCCCATCTCTGCCTTCAGCTCTGTGTGGCCTGCGTTCAAACGCTCGTGTGCGTCAATTGTTTTTTTGTGTTACCCGACCTGATACTAAAAGCGCAAAAATGGCAAGTGCAAAAAAATATGTAATAAGTCTCCTCCGTCACTCGCTGACACGCGCACACACCGCACACTACACACACGCGCGCGACGTCAGAATCAAAACAACATTCTCCGTTGCTCCGACATAAAACTGGTGCCTGCTTCCCAGCGTTGCGTTCCACTCGCGCGGCCTCCGCAACGCACTCACGGGCAACCCCCCCCCCAACCCACCTCTGTTGACTCTCACAGGCAAACGGTGTGTGGGGGGTGGGTAAATAAAAAAATAAACTACAACAGGTACAATCGGTACCGGATGGCATCAATAAATATTTTGCTCGCCGAGTGTAAAGACGCCTCGCACCTTGCAAAACAAACAAACTCGGTTCTAAATGGATTCGCTCTGCGACATCGAACGTCAGCATTGTTGCGTTGTGTGTGCGCCCGGGGTTAGGTTGACCACCGGGACATTGTTTTCGTGCGCATCAGGGGGATGACAATGGTGGAGACAGCTGAGGGCAATGTTTTGGAGACGACAGCTCGCTTGCGGGCCTTTGGGTTTGATTTGGTAGATGAGGTTGCTTCGTTGCTTAGTTTCAGCCGGAATAGTCCAGAAGGCCATTGCAGGAAAATATTTTAGCATGCCACATCTCTCTCTCTCTCTCTCGCTTTATTTAGCATGTAACATTGATAAACATTTTTTTATAGCATTGTAGGAGTATAGGGTACAAAATAATGTAAGTATAGTATGGATAAGGCTTACCTTGTACTCTAGTGGGAGTGCCTTATGCTGACAATGTCTACTCCCAGCCAGCCCAGGAGCGTTCCACAACATATTGAGTTAGAAATTTAGCCAGGGGCATGGTGCGTAATTGCTTAAACAGCAATACAACAATCAATGTATGTTTATAAAGCAGCTAAATGTTTATAAAGCACCTAAACGTGACTACGTGGAGCATAATGCGCATTTCACGTGATCATGGAGGGAGGAGAGATTTGATCGGTTCTTTTTCATGTCCTTCTACCGCTCTTCTGCGCACACAATACCTAATTTTTCGTCAACATCAACAGCCGTGATCTATCCACTACTGTATGAAGGCTTCCCCCATGTAGTCCACTATGCCCTCCTGTGCTGCCATGACCCATCTCACCACTGCACATGGGCTAGTTTCATCACCTCATTTCTGTGGTGGTCATCTTCTTGAACACGTTCCATCCTTTGTCACCAGTCTTGTCGACGTTTCTTAAATCCCTCCGCCTCTGTCCACCTAGGAGTAGTATACACGTGCACACCACACCCACTCGATATCCGCATGCATACCTGGAGAAGCTCAAAGCAGCTTGAGAGAAAACGCCGTCGCATGCTGCGGTTAAATTCAGTCGTGAAACTCCTTAAGCCACCCGTGAGGGTCTCTAATTGGTCACAATGTTACCAATGTATTGTCACGAATAAATACCATATCCTGTAAACGTGACCATCTCTGCGTCGCTTAACACAAGAAACAAAACCCCATCGGCAAGACATGGTGTGAACGGTTCAACATACATACACTAAACAAAAACGATTTCAAAAAATTGTATTTAACAAGGTAAGGCCCACTGAGCTATATAGCTCTTTTTCAGAAACGACATGGCCACAAATGATTGCTCAACGAAGTGGTTTATCTTTATATTCTTAGCTCTTTCGGTAAAGTCACGTTGAAGGGAAACAATAAAATAATAAAATATATAACAATAAAAATTATCACGACGTTTCGACCATAACACAAACGGTCATCATCAGGTGTGAAAACCAACGGCAATGGTGATGACCGTTTGTGTTATGGTCGAAACATCGTGATAATTTTTATTGTTTTATATATATTATATTATTTTATTGTTTCCCTCCAACGTGACTTTACCGAAAGAGCTAAGAATATGAATTACTGCAGTCACGAAAGCTTTAACTCATGGTTTATCTTTGTGCACATTTATAGCAGCCAAATACTCAAAATGCGCGTCTATTCGAAATGTGGAGGGAAAGAACCGGAGGACCCAGATAAAAATCCATCCACTCGACCACGGGGAGAGAGAGCAAGCAGACTCCAAATATACAGCAGGCGTCAGGGTCCAAATGGAACCCACGGCCACCTGTATACCAGGCGAAGGAGTTAACATCTCGCGGCCAATACGTACAACATGCATACACCCTGGACCACGTCTTCCAAGACGTCTAGCCAGTGTGGGATATGAGGCTTACAACCGTCTAGAGAAGCTCTCCTTTAGGTCCTTCTGACGGAGAGCTGGCGACATCTTGGGGAACCCTTCATCCAGCAGTGGTTTGATCGCGGATGATTATAATAGACCAGTGGATCTTAACCTTTCCTGTAACCTTGCACCCATTTGGTACTCAAACGTAAAAAAAATATATACAATGTTAATAATTACATAGGTTTTGATGCAACAAAGTAATTGTACTTACATGCCCCTGCTAAATATGCGTTTCGATTATTTACCTCGGAAAAAAAATATCTGCCCATGTCTCGCACTCCCAGAAGGGGCATCTGGCACCGCCAGGGGGTGCAGCGTGCACCCCAAGTTAAGAACGACTGATGACGACAACGTCACAATACTGGAACAAAATATTTAGATTGTTCCATTAATTATGGGCAGCCTGTGTTCAAATGTGGCCAGCGAGCAAGCGATGGCAGTGCAGCCACCTTTAACCCATGAACAAAATCAAGTAGACGATCGTTTAAAATATTCCATCCAGTTATCTTTATTGTAAAAGTTCTTTTTTTTGAACAGCACCAAACAAAAAAAAAGAATGCGAACACAATTATTTTTTTGCAACGGCCAGAGATGAAATAATATTCGTGATAACAACAATGACGACGACAATAATAATAATACTACGGGTACAGTAATGCGTTACAACAACAAAAATACAAATTAAATTTGGAACATATGCAAGCATACACATCTGAGCGGGGATAGCAGGAGGAGCTCTGTCGTAAATTGTTGCGCAAAGAAAACTACGGCACTGCCTTTCTCACCTCCACACCCCTCTCAATGCAGAAAACAAAAAAGAGCTGCCCCCTTTCACTCCACGTCAGGTGAGCCACGAGAGGTGTAGCAACACCTGCGAAGCCGATAGTGGCCAGCCACCAACGAATGAGAGAGAAAAAAAAAGCGTACCAAGTCCTGTCATCAATGTACAGCATGATGGAACCGCGGAGATAAATTAAAGAGACGGATTATATAGAACAAATAATACAGTTATAAAGATAAGCGTGTGCGAGTGTGTGTGTGGTGTGTGTGTATATAATACAGACCGTGATTTGAGACTCGTTACACTCGCACACATATGTACACGCACACATTGTTGGGAATGGGGCACGTGTTTTTTTTAAGAGTAGGCGTACTTATCGCACAGACACAATCAATTTTGCCCACATTGTTAACGGAGCAACGCCGTGAAAGTGACCGAATGTCGCCATATGTACAAGGGGTGGTCAAGGGGATGTTTTTTTTAAAGTCCAAAAACTTGATCTTAACATTGACCTCTCAAACTTCATAGTCACACGCAAAATATCAGCGCATTAAGACGGGGAGGGGGTAGGAGGAGGTCTTTGACATCGACCTAAACAACAGGCGCGGACTGAATATTTCCTGAAGGCATTTTAAACCCTGGACCATCTCGGCGATAACGCTCCACGCACAGCGTTGTCTCGCCCTAGAGCCATTTTACTATCGCAACTATCCCAGGTCCACTGCTATGTACAGCCGCGGTACAAACTACAGGCTCGCGAAAATGTTGGCTTGAAGTCTCCTATAAGATGAGCCAATAATGGCAAGACGCTTGTCCGGTCGATATTCAAACGTGAAATTATACACATGGCGGAATACAACACTGTCGCCTATTACCTCCGACCCAAAACAGTTGTTTGGCCGTCGGCTCATTCAGGAGTAGACTCTGCAGAGTTTGAATTAATTTCCAACCAATCAATAGCATCGTAGTTAAAAATATAACAACACGTTGGTCCTCCGCTGGCATGCATTGCATTGGCTAGAGATATCAACAAGTGGAATACCTGTGTGTGACCGGCTAGTCACCATCCTTTTTCAAGTCTTGTTGGTATTCACGTGTAGGTGCTTGCGGTGACGGTAGCAGTGGGAATTGGCAATTGCCGTGTGCCCACGTCTTGTTTCGTAAAATCTGGAAGTGTCCAAACTTTCCATTGGTTCTCGGCTTTCGTGGCCAGAATTTCACTTGTTATATTCGCATCGTGTCTGCGATGCTGTGCTGCTGCCACCGGTCAGAAGTTTTGAGTCGTCAAGTCCTGGGTCACGCCAGGACAAATTTGTGCTATAAATACTCACAATGTATCATCATGAAAATAATAGCGATATCGCGAAATTTGTTTTTTTTAAAATTTGTTTTACTGGAAAATGAACTGCTAGAACTAAAAGCCATTTATATAAAAATGTATCAAGATGTAGTTTCGATATATTTGATAATTATGGGAAAACATTGAAAGTTGTGATCATGATTTCAAATGATCTCAATTCAACAATGTATGATTATTGCCAATTATCCTGAAATGTTTGGTCATAATGCAGCGAATGTAAATTCAAAAATGCTCATTTTAAACAATCTCACAACTTTCGTGGAATTTCCAGCACAAATTGTAGTACTTGTCTAACGTTGGCACATGATAGAGGGAAGTGGAAACTAGCGACAAGAATTTCAGTGGATACCCATTGGCTGTCTGCCCATGGAGTTTGATGATGACGATGATGTCATCGCATTCACTTTATTTTATGTTATCTTTTTTGCTCTAAAATGCACTCGGTTTATGTATAGAACTTGTTGTGTTAATCATTCATCAAGCAATTAATAAATTATTTATGTTTCAACCCTTTATAGATTTTGCTTCCTAAGGCATTTCACTCCAGAATCACCACGACTGCTGCTGTTTATTCTCTATGAAATGCGCTCTTCCGATCTCCATGCTTACCTCACTGACCATTATCACTAACACACCCACCCACTACTGCTTTTCATTCAGGTAGAACTGCAGCCAAACGGACGTATCTTTTGTTTAACTTTCGTCAATTTTTCTTGAGCGTTCTCTTTAAAAAAAAATAAAAGAGTCGAGATTACGTTACCTCTCGAAAATGCGGTCACTTTGTTCACAAAAGGAGGTGGAAATGTCAAAAAAGAAAATCCCAACGACGCAGATGTCTTCTTGAATCCGGTTTCTAAAAGTGGATCAGAAAAACCCAACAAATGTATCTCGGTGTCGTTACGCGGAATTGAAAAATATCTGCAAAGCATGGTCCACAATACAACCACGACTAATAAAACGAGCGCAATGCAAAACTAAAATATAATAATGGTGAGAGGAAAGTACGTAAAAAAACAGTGCCATATCACAAGGAGGAGGAGGGTTCTGATTTTGCCTCGAGTGGTAATACAAGAGGTAGGAATGGCACCACTGTATGTACAAATGCATTCTACAATGAAATAAACCTCCCAATGTCATTTCCAGGAGTTAGACTCTGCAAGTGCCAATGGTGATGTTTGTGCTCCGTTGTCCAAATAACGTCCTTTAGCTGTTTCAACGGGGAGTGGAAATGTATTCTCTCTTCCTCCATAACCAGGCATTTAGGCCGTTTGGAAATGGCTAAACGCAAGCTTTTGCTCCGAGGAATGTCCCGAAATTGTATTTATTTATAACCTGGCATTTTTTGGGAGCTCTGAGAATTATGTGGTCCCTGATTGTTTGACACTAACAATCACTTGCTAACAAAAGCTATGAGCGACAACTGAAAAAAATACATAGGACAATCAAATTCTGCCTCCAAAAGTGCACCCATTTTCTAATTATATTGTGTATAAAAGTACAATGCAGATATTTACACATATTAACTCAAATGTATTGGCAACAGCAACAAAAATCACCGTGGGGTCTTAATGGATATAATGCTTGCGTTAATAATGCCCACTGTCAAAACAGCTGGGTTTTACTAGGCCACAAATTGGGCTTTAATGAGTGCCACAATTATTTTGGGTGCAAAAAAATAAAGGAGTTTGCACATAGCCGTACAATTCGTTTGCTTTTCCCTAAACGTATTATCACAGGTTCGATGTAGCTTAGGCTGAGATAATTTATCATTTTGTTTTTGTAAGAGAGATCTTCCATCTGCATTTTAATCTGATTAAAATTTTACATTTTTACATAGAATTACGTCCGCAATCTTAAATAACCAATAGGGGCCTCGCAAAAGCAGGCCTCAACCAGCCGCCTTTGTTACTCCGGTGTGCAGGCATGCTTCTTAATATAAAAAGGTATCAACCATGTTAAAAACCTCAGTTTGAAAAATCCTGTCATGTTCCGTGAGCGTGAAATTATAATTTTGGGGGGGGCGGTCTAATATTTTACACGAGGAAAAACGCCAGCACACGCAACGTCTCGTATGTTCAGCAAATGCTATTCGAGCGTCCGTTCCTGCTCCCCGGGAGGGTTGCCAAAACTCCCACCAGGGACATCGAATAAATGAAGAATGTCTCACAATAGTGGTATAGGGGACCTACATGTAAACGCATTGTCTCGAGCGGTATATTACTACGTAACTGACCAACAGACAGGACTCTTGACATGCCGGTAAGACCTAGAGATTTTCAGGGAACGGTTACCCCAAAAAAGAGAACGTCCAGTAAAAACCAGGATGGGTGGCAACCCTTGTCCCCTACAATCAGTCCTCTGCAGACTTAGCACATTTCTAGCCGATGGCACGATAGACAGATGTCACACATGCCCTGTTTTGTGCCTCACACAACCGTAGCTTATAAAACATTACAACTACTTGTTTCGTAATTTTAAGAAGAACAGCAGTGCTTATACGCCCCCACCTCACTGCCTCCACCCCCCTTTCTTTAAATGAATCAATTGCAAGCCATTGAACGCTTGCAAGTGCAAACCGAACGCACTCATTATTGACGTGCAGCGCTGTGCTTGACACTCCAAGGCGAGGGAACACGAGGCCAACTTCGGCGAGGAGACTGATGGACAACGCTTGCTTTTGAGGAGTCTCCGTTTACTTAAGGCCACTTTTGTGGATAGAAAGAGTTTGCATTTAAATGAAGCCGGGCCTTCGCCGAAATTTGAAGTGGGAAGAAACAGGCAGTTACGACTTTCGTCCGAGTCGAAATCGATTTGTTTTTACGTTCCCTCAGCCTTTCGTGTGTAAGGCCTCACGGGCTCTAAATATTTGTGCCATCCCTTTCTGCTCGTTTAAAAAAAAAAAATCTTTACACAATGATGACCGAAGGTGAACTAATCACAGTTTAAAATGGCCATTCGGGGGAAGAGATTTGCGTGGCAAGTTGTTAGGCCCAAAACATGTAAATATGGCTGCATTCTTTTAAAAAACTGAAGACTATTATCGTGTTTAGTTCACTTTGATTGCAGTTAGACTGCATACGATTGGCCGTATTGCATACCACGGGGATTTCATGAGATAAATCATAAATGATGTCCAGCTGTTTTGTTTATACACTGCTAGATGAAGGTCTTCCTACACTTTGCTGGTCACAGGAGTTATACTTTACCGCACGCTCCTGGTCAGTACAGATTGGTGAGGGAAAGGCCCTGAACCTGTTCAATAAATCACTCACTCCTGATTTTAGCCATGGCTGGGAATTGATCTCGAGTCCGCTAGGTTTATAGCGCAGTGTGCTGACTACTGTGCTACCGGTTCATGCCATCGAAACAAAGCATGAGGGTAAATTAGCAGTGCAGAATCCCTACCTCTGTAGTGCACATGGACAGTGTCAATAGCATGCAGAAACCATCCAATTATATACTTTAGCTTATTATGGATTCAACAGGAAGTAAAATGGTCTCTTTTTTAAGATGGACTTTCCTTATTTGGTAAAATCCTGCAATGACCTGACTCAAGTTTGTTTAAAATTTCTACCATAAATTACATTTGTGATATACAATTGTATTTGTAAAAAAAAAAATGTAAAAACTAAATATATTCTTTTACCTCCAGACTATTAAGCATCATCAACCATTTTCGTGATTGGCAACTTCAATTTTTTTTAACCTGCCGGCTTGAATATATTCCACTGGATTGACCACGCAGCCCTTAAGTTTGTCGCAGTTTTGAAAGCAGGCCATCTTATTGCACAATTCGCCTTTGGGACATCCGAATTTTCAATTAGTTTTTTGAAAAAAAAAAATCAGCTTTCCCATTTTTTCCCCACACAAACCTTTCCTTTCACAATCAACAAAAAAACCAAAGTGGTCTCGAAACCCTCAAGGTATCCCAACGGGAAACAAGTCAACTCAAAACCGACACCGACACCGACGGCGGCGACGACGACGACGACGACGACACAACACCAACGAATAACGCGACACAGTGACCGCGTAGTCTTCTACTATGAAGCACTGGTGTCAAGGATGCTGTCCGACTGAGCCGAGGACTCGTCGTTTTGTTCGGCGCCCTCTTCGGGGATGGAGACCTGCTTGCTGACGACGCTGGGCGACGGGGGACACGACGGCACCTCGCCGATCGCCGCCAAGGCCAGGTATCCCATCCACCGCCGCTGGCTCTCCTCCCCGTCCGTGCCGAAGTAGAGCGTCTGCCGCGACTGCGTCATCTTGAAGGCGTGTCGCGCCTCGTGCGGGTCGCTCGCCTCCAGGGGGCTGATGGCGTAGCCCGGCAGCGGGATCGTCCGCATAGGCTTGGCGTCCTTGCGAGTCACACGGGGAGAGGTGTTGATGCACGCGGGAAGGTTGGGCGTGTTAAAAAACAAAGGAAGATGCCGCTGCTGTTTTTCTATTGTTATTACCATCATCATTAACTCATTAGAAATTTACCTAAATACTACTCAATTGTAATCGTATGTAGCAATCATCACCCCCCTACCGGCAGAATAATGCCCATTTGTAGGCCACGTGCTGGAGTCACCTTGTGCCACCACAGATCTGCACGTCTGTGTGTGTATGCACGTCGATGGGGAGCGGTGGCGTAGTGCGCTCAGAGTTCGAATCCCGCTCGTGGCCACGATCGGTAGCGGTTGTCTGAGCCCGTCCGAGGCTTCCACTGGGTCGACCCAGCCTTAAAAATTAGTACCTTGCATGAGTGGTCATCAGCACTGGGGAGACAAATGCGACCGGGCGTGGTGCTGGCCCCCCACCCCCTCGTGTGTCATGTCGGCCTTCACAGGTGCTGCTACTTGCTAACGGCACTTGCCTCGATGCTCTGCTGAGGCTATGCGGGGGATCTTTGTGCTTGTGCGTCCGTACCTTTGCGGTCTCGTACATGTAGAGGACGAGTGGCTCTGAGCGTGGCACGGTGAACCAGGCGCGGTGCGATGCCTTCACTCCGCGCTCCGACAGACTCAGGAATCCACACAGAATGCTGCCCGCCGGATCCGCCGAGGCACGCCGCTACAAAGACAAAAGAACCCCCCCAGCCAGGATGGCCTTAACAAGACTGTTGGGGCGAGTGCTTGTTCGCGAGTACTAACGAAGGCCGGCACAGCACGCGAAGGGGGTAGGTTCGTTTCTGGCCTTTAAAAAAAAAAACGTTTTTCACATTTAGGTCTCCTGATCACATCTGGCTTCGAATCACCGACGTCCATTCCTCCCAGGCGGCGGCATGAGCTGTGCGTTAAGGTGACAGGAAGACACGTGACGGGTGGGGCTGCGAGGAGGCGACCGTCTTTCCCAACCTCAATGAAAACAGCCGACGACTCTTGAGTCTCGAGAGGAAAAAAAAAACTCGGCTCGCGCCACGACTCGAAAAATAAACCGCGGCGGGCAGAGGAGGGAGCGCCGGCTCTCTCCACGCACCTCGGCGACCGCGGCGACTCGAGCCCGTCGCACGTCGTCGGGCAGCTCCTCCGTCTCATGCTGCTGCTGCTGCTGCTGAGGCCTCAGGACGCCGTAGCAGTCGTGGCACACGCGGGCCAGCTTCCCGCCCTCGTACTCCAGCTGCGCCTTGTACTCGGAGCACTTGCCGCACACGACCTGCGCCGCAGACCGCGCTCCTTGTCAAATCATCATCATCATCATCAAATGCAATAGATACGAAACTGTGTTGTTTTCCTCGTAACTTACACTTTGGTTCCTTCGGCAAAGTCACGTACTTAGAAATGAAATCAAACAAGTCACGACGTTTCGATCGCAACGCAAGCGATCGAAGCGTCGTGACTTGTTTTATTTTATTTTTACCCACGTGACTTTACCGAAAGAACCAAACAGTATGGATTCCTGCAGCCACGAAAGCTTCAAATCAAGATTGAGCCTCCTCATAACTGATTTTAAATTGATTGTAGTCATTGTTATTTTACATTTACCATCCCCCTACCCCCCCCCCCCATCCCGACTATGTTCACTCATGCCAGGAACGTTGAGCAAGGTTTCTGCATTCGCGAGCCTTCCCGAGAACGTGCCGCTCGCGGATCGTAAAGGTTTCTGCTGTACTCACGTGGCCGCAGGCACGACAGTGATGCTTCCTGCGCGTGAGGGCGTTGAAGGGCTCCGAGCAGCTCATGCACTCGGACACGCTGCGCTCACGCACCAGGTGAGGCGCCCGTCGCCCCAGCTCCGTGGCCTGCAGGTGGAGAAGTGTGGGAAGTGGGGGGGGGGGAGGACGTGGGGGGGCGGGCGGGCGGTCAGAAATGGCGTGGGCTTTCGCGCGCGGGGGAGGAGAGGCATTCGATTCCCGCATCGGAGGGAGGATCGCCAGATGTTTCGTTCAGAGAGGTGGACGATAAGAGAAACATTTAGATATTCAATCTGGGAGGTGGATCATAAGAAAGATATTCATTCGGATGTTCAATCACAGAGGTGCATGCATGCATGCATGTTGAACTTCTTTAGACAATTTACGACGCGTCGTCCGACAAGACTCAGAACACATCTGAACAAAGTTGGGCCTAGTTTCTGAAGAGACTTGGTGTGGAGCTTTTGTTTTTCTCAGTATTTTTCTTTGACGGATGCTTGCCTATAAAACCCCTGTTAAATATGACAGATAAAAGGGAAAAAAAAACACATCGGGAAGTGATGTTTGGCCATACTTGTCAACCTCTTATCAGTGCCCACCTTGTTTCAGACCAATTCAAACTTTATTGGTCACCCTGTGCCCTTATAAATCTCAACGTTCATCCTACAAAGTCCCATCACAAGGGAGAAACACAAACACATAAGCATAAAAAGTGCTCCGCATTGAAACGGCTGTACGCCGTATGGACCTGAAAACTAAAATTCCTTGTACAAGAATACGGGTTGACAGGTATACGTTTCTACTATGGGAAAACAGGGTCCGATTTCACGGCGATTCGATTTACGACGCTGTGTCCTGCAACGCATTGTGCAGCAAAAGCGGGGACCGCCCACATGCAAATAAGCCGTGACTTGGGCCTACAGCGATTCCAATACCAGCCGAGGTCGGTGCAGCTACAAAGGCACTCTGCAGATGGCAGCAGAGCGCAACGTATCTCAACATCGCCCCCCACAAAACCTCCGGCACGAGACGAATCCTCTCGCCCAGCCTCGATCCGACAAATTCCACTGCGGGGACGCACAGAGAGGAGGCTCCGACGAGCCGCGTTCAAACAAGAACACTCCCGCGGCACCGCCTCCGCGCTCGATATCTGGCGCCATTCTCGGTGAGCGAACGGGCAGCGAATATCTTTGAACGAGTGGCTGGCTGGTAAAATATGAATTCGGGAAGCAGTATACAACAGGCACAAGGAACACCCCCCCCCTAACCGCTTAACACGCGTCTTGCCTCCTTCCTATGCACACGCCACGAGTCACAGTTTCCACTTTAGGGATTCGAGCGAAGGAAAGTCCGTAACAGGATGTGTTCCCAACAAGGACAATACAAAGGTGCATTAGGGACAGCTTGCAAACATGCGCGCAGCAGTTTTAAAATAAAATAAAAAGTATTTTATTCATTAATATACGTGAAATAGGAAAAACAAACAAACATTTGCGAGCACGTCTTGAAGGAAAAGGGAAGGAGGTTGCTTTGTGACCTTCTGCCGAGGCCATTATTTAGGCAGCTGTATGGCCGAGAGTTTAGCCCGGGGCATCCTGGTGAGTCCGGTGAACGTCGCATTCGCCGGATTTTAACAAGGTGCGCAAACTGCTGCAGCAAGTGGAGTAAACCCCAAAGGCCCTGTTATATCACAGTGCAGCAACATTTAATCTAAACTATGAACTAAACATTATTCTTTTCATATCCCCAGGTAAGGCCCAACGAGCTGTGTAGATCCGTTTTAGAAACGACCTGGCCACAAATGATAGCTCAACGAAGTGGCTTATCTTCACGTGGAAATATATAGCAGACAAATACTCCGAACGCATGATGTCGATTCTGAATGTTGAGGTAAAAATAAGATGACCCGGAGAAAAATGCACGCGACCACAGATAGAACATGCAAACTCCAAATATACAGGCGTATATTTTAAAATCGAATCCCCGACCTACTGTATACCAGGCGAGGTAGTATAGATCTCGCCACCGCTGCCGCCTGCAGAAGTCCTATACTTTTACGTTTGGGCACGTGTGTACACTCCCAGCCTTCGCTAACGTGCATTGACGAGCGTGGCGAAGTATGGTCAAATAACCCACACAGTCCACGTGGCCTGGGGAGGCCCTCATCCAGCGGTGGATTGGCAAAGGGCTGCTTATGTCCATGGTGATGTTTTTTGTTAGCGCAGGTTCAATGTTTTTCAGCGGATTGCAACGGTTTTGAAGTCACAATTTAGGTCACGAAATCCCATCAAGCGCTTGCCCAGAATAGAGATTTGCTAAACAACAAAAGGGAAGTGGGGCTTTCAACTTGTTCTTCCTGCCGGACTTCCGCAAAACTGTCGCGAAGGCACAAGGCCGCCGTGCCGTCCCGTTGGCCTGCGACAACGCGATGAAAAACACGCATTGAGATTATTATCGATTATTTTGGTGCTATAAGTGGCCCAACGATAGGCCACTTTGTTGAGCTGTCATTTGTGGCCACTTCTGAAAAATAAGTTATTACGTCAGTGGGCTCAGGATGGGGATGGTTTAGTTTTATTTGTATGTGTTTGGGTTATTTGCTTACTGCTTAAACTTTTTTGAATTGCCATCATGTTTTTGCACTGGTTGTGGTTGTAACGTTTTTACCCGCCCCTACTGGACATCTGAGAAAAGGAGCTTTATAGCTCACCGGATTCCTCCAGTATAGATAAAAAAAAAACTGATGTTGAAAAAAAGTATTCAGATTCCGAGCTGTGAATTAATGATTGAGCAGCGCAAAGAGTTTAGTGGCTACGCTGTAAAAATCTGTTTTATCAGCTTGAGATAATAACAATCGTAACATTCGAGATTGTGAGAATCTTTACTTCAGGATGTCCTCCTGGTTTAACACTGGGTCGCCTTCGGGTGGGAGTTTACGATCGTCGTTCAATGGTGGTGGACAATGGGACACGTAGATTATCTGAACTTCCTGGAGGTATTAATAAAAAAAAAACGTATAAAATACCGTATCATATAGACAGATAGATACACGCATCGGCTCTGCGCCCCAAACTGTCTGGCGTATTTTACTGAGAAAAAAAGAGGTGTTCATAATATGGCAAAGCTAGCCTTCTATACATAATAAAGTTCATGATTATTACCTATAAACTTCTTGAAGTTTACGCGCACCTGACTTCGCTGGTGAGACTCTGAATGTCAAAAACAAAAGTAGAGGGTTGGGTCGAAAATCTGAGGCCCTGGGCACTGCGTTCCAAACTGATTTTTTTTTTATTTTGCCAGGTAAGGCCCACTGAGCTGTGTAGCTCTATTTTAGAAGTGACCTGGCCAAAGAAGTTGGCTCATCATGTGGAATGTTAAGGTAGTCAAGTACTCTAAACGCACGTATACAGGCATTGTCAGGGTTGGGATCGAACTCACGAACTCCTGCATACCAGGCGAGGGAGTTAACATCTCGCCAACGTGGCGCACCCGTTCACTGCTACCACCACCGCCACCACCACCACCGTCACCACCACCGCCACCACCGCCGCCACCGCTACCACTACCACCACCGTCGGCACCACTGCCGGCACCACCACCAACGCCACCACCGCCACCACCCCCGCCACCACTGCCACCACTCCCACCATCACCACCACTGCCACCACCGCCGCCACCACCGCCACCACCGCCACCACCACCGCCACCACCATCACCACAACCACCACCACCACCACCACTACTGCCACCACCGCCACAACCGCCACCACCACCGCCACCACACCCGCCACCACCACCGTCGCAGCTGCCGCCCCGCGAACACCGTCCACCATCCGTCCCGTGCAGGCCGAACGGCCGACGACCGTTAACGAGGACCTCGCCGAGGGGATCCCCACCCCGGGGATCTCCACCCCCCACCCTGGCGATGATCGGCGCGGGGGAGGAGAGGTGCGTTTTGGTTTGGCGGGGGGCTCACCGAGAACTCTCCGTCGTCATCGCGCGTGAAGGAGCTGTTGAAGGAGCTGTTGAACGCCTTGAAGCTCTCGCTGTTCTTCTCGTGCTTCTCTATCGTGTCGCGGATCGCCTGCGAGAGCGAGCGCAAGGGGGGGGGGGGGGGGGGGGGGGGCGCGGGAGACGCGACTCGCATTAATCACGGAAACCCGCTCGCCGCTCGCTACGCGATCCGGCGAGCCCGTCGACTCGGTCCTCGGCTTGATTCATCGCAATCGCGGCCCTCCTTTGCGCTCCGGCTCGCAGCGATTAATGGCGACTCTAATGGGCCATCAACCACTGTCGCTCGCGTGCCCCTGCCCCGCTTTTCACGATTCTAAAGCGGGCCGCGCTCGAGAAAAACACGCGGCTCTATGGAGCCCAATTAACCGCTCGCAAAAGTGGATAAATCCGGCCGAGATTAAACGTACTCCCAATGGGAACTTAAGCATGCTGTGCACCGCTTAAGTACATATACACGCACGCTGAACAATGAGATACTGTAGTGTGTAGCTCAGGAGTATAGTGTTCAGGGTTCTTGGTGTCAGAGTTTGGCAGATTGAATCTCCACCTCGGCCGGGCAATGGCAACTGAAAATTATAAATGCCGTCCTGAAAAAAAGTGAATATCCACAAGACTCTATCGTTCACAAGGGCAACATTTGATGGCGAGCTGAGTCGCTTTCCCACTGGGGACACCCAGCCAGCTATCGCTTGTAGTCTTCATTACCAGTCACGTCCTATCCACTGCTGGATCAACGCCCTCCCAAAGCCGCCCTCATCTCTCGCAGTCCCGCACAGGAGCTGATTTCATCGCTCCCTCCGCCGGCGCATTTCCCTCTCGGGCGTGTTCCTTCCTTTTCGCCTGGCGCTTGGTCGTGACTCTCGACCGGTCACAATACCGAAGCGTTCGTACGGTGCGATTTTCACATTCAACAATGGTTCACTTTTCTTAAATGCCCCCCCCACCCTCCCCCCCACCTCTGTTGACCCAAGCAGCTACAAACGGCAGTCGGTCGAGCGGCGGGTCGCGTGCGGTGAGGGTTGTTAAGTGGCCAGGCACACCGCGGCCAGCGCGGAAGAGGGGAGCTCTCGAGGGAACCCGCTGGTGTAGGCACTTTCGACAGCGAGCAATCGCAGGGCTGCACCTTGACTTTAACTAAACCGAAACTGTTTATTTTGCCAGGTGAGGCCCACTGAGCTCTATATCTCTTTGTCAGAAGCGACCTGGCCGCAGACTGAAAACGCATTTATTGGGAACTGCTTTGTGTGTTTAGTTTGTCCTTCCCCAGCAGTTCCGATTAGCACGGTTGGCTATGTATGGTGTAAAGTTCAACTGACGTACATACAGACGATACCTGAACGAAGTGGCTTATAGTGACCACTTATAGCAGCATAAATGCTCGAAATGAATGTTTGCAAACGTGGAGGGGAAAAAAACGGAGGACCCGGAGAAAAAAAATCCACGTGACCACGGGGAAAGCGACATGCAAACTACAAAATATACAGCAGGCGTCAGGATTCGTTGATCGAACCCAGGAAGCATCCTGCATACTAGGCGAGGTAGTTAACGTCTCTCCCACCGCGGCACCGGGGTCTGTAAATGCGAAACAACACCCCTCGACGACATGGGAATCGCGGTTTTTACGCAGAGCAGCGTCCCACCCACCACTCCCCACCACCCCCGTTCCACCTCGCTCGCAATCATTGTGCGGTAAATAGCGCGGCATTGGCACAATCGGCACGCGCGTGGCTTGGGACCGCGACGCACTCGCGCGTGCGTCTGTGAGAGGAAGCGTTAACAATGGACCCTGGCCTCCAAAGGTCTTTCTGCTTTTTACGTTTTCGCTCGCAAAGATCATATCGCCGTTTCCAACCCCTCGCGTTTTTACATTATTTATAGCCTAATCAGATTGACGCTATAATGTGTCGGGAGCATGGGAAAGGCAATAAAGCGGCCGTTTATAAGGGAAAAAAAAAAACGAACAGCAAGCAGCTTTAAAAGTTGTTCACAAAGGCATCATCTGTTCATTAAGCAATGATAATAATTATACAGCAGTGTAAATTGTGAGGCTGAAATGTTGGCAACACGTTCCTTGTACACTTAAGTCCATCTCGAGGGCATTTGACCAATTATGCCATGTTGGTCAGACATCATGCAAGAGGCAGAGTCTCATAAAGTTGGCTGAGATTACCATCGAATTGTGACAATTTATTAATGGATGATACATGTATGGACACCCTCTGGAAGCAATATTTTTACAAATTGGATTAAGGGGAGGTCTATAGGGATGTCGGACAAGTTGGACATCAACTTAAACATTTTGGAATCATTTGCTTTCGACTGGCAGAAAGTGTTTTCCCTCCACATTCAGAAACACGCGTTTAGAGTATCTGGCTGCTCTAAATTTCAACAGGACAAGCCACTTCGTTGAGCTATCATTTGTGGCCAGGTCGCTGCTGAAAAAAAGAGCTACATAGCTCAGTTGGCCTTGGCTGGTAAAATAAAAATAAAATAGCAAACAAAAATAGTTCCTTGCATCTGTGCACCACTGCCAACGCAACAGCATCACCAAAGAATACAATTCGAATGGCAAGGCCTCCACCAATAGGAAAGGGTGTGACTGTTTCTCTCTCTCTCAAGAGAGAGAAGCATTATGGGCAAATTCAGCGAGTGGCGTTATTGGCGTACCTTGACCCACTCTTTCTTCTCAGCTTCTGATCTGTAAAAATAAATAGAACGATGAAGTCAATAAAGCAAACGAAGAAATGAGCAAGCCCAGTCTCGTCTCACTACAGCACGGATGGCCAACCTGTTACAGACGAAGAGCCGAAAAGTGCCCACGAGTTCGACACAGAGCAAAGTGTGTATATATTGACAGTTTTCAGCACAGCACGGGAGACATTCATTATTCTTTGCTACTACTACTGTGATAGCGCGTTCTACTTTACGCCATCTTCGATAGAGGTGCATGTGGTGGATTAGAGCCACATGCAGCTCAGGAGACGCCGGTTGGGTCACTGCTGCACTCATCACAGTGCTCTACAATGCACCAGGATGACTGATGCCAGAGCTGATTTAATGTTAATTTTTTACACGCTTTGTTAAGTATCACCTGGTTAAAAAAACTGCACGTGAATTTACACGTTTTCATCCAGGAAATGTAAAATTTCTTCTGGCAGTTATTTTTTTTATTCACACAGTACTAGTTGGTTGTGTCAGGTGGTGGCGGGTTTAACGACACATTTATATATTTACGTGATCTCACCCAAAAAACCTCGATTATGGATGATATTGGTCGTGAAAGCCTACGTGTTAAATAATAATAATAGTAAGTATAAAGCAGAACCCCTCTGAACGACCACCACTGTTAACAGCTAACGACGCGCCTCCACAAAGCCCAATGTGTTCGCTTACCGACCATTCCCCCTGTTAACGACGGGATTATGACGAGCATGAACCGCCAATGTCGGCCAAACGGCGAGCTCCAAAATGGTCTGACCAGGCCTCGGCCAATCAGCGACGTACATTCACGAGTATTGGGGCATTGTTTACATTCGATGCTATCGGAACGAATTAAGCCTTAAACATGAATTTCCCATACTCGCTTTAACAACCAAATCACTTCACAACCTGTTTCGTGGAACCAATTACCGTCGTTAAGAGGGGTTCTACTGCATTATTATAATCGTTGTTATGGGAATTACAATCAATCCCACAAACAAGTTGGGGAATGAACCTTGATCGCAGTGTTGGTGAAGGGAGCTGAGCAGGGCTGGTTCGCTTATAATCACTCGCCAACTCATGTTAGCCATGGCCAGGAATAAAACTCAAGTCGCTGGATTTAGAGTCCAATGCTCCCGCCATTCTCAAGTTTAAAATCTCGCGGCCGGGAATCAAACTGGCGTCGCGTGGTTCGTATGGCAGCGAGCTATCTGCCGCTGCCGCCGCCGCCGCTCCGCCCCTTATCGTAATAACAACACCAATGCGGTGCATCGGCCTTCCTTCAGAGCACTTGCATTTGTCCCAATATGAAATCCTGCAGGACATCCTGCACTTCCGCAACAAGGTTCCCTCCAATCGCGACTTGGACCACTTCGGACCCAAGGGAGCGGCGTGCGGAGGCGTTGCGGTGGGATTTGCGTGGGAGGAAGTGATGGCCGGGAGGGGGTGGGCAAGTGAGAAGGAGGTTTGTGGGGGGTGGCTGGGAGGGAAGGGAAGAGGAGATGGTGTGTGCGGAGGGGAGGGGGGATGGTGCATGTGGTGAAGGAGGGAGGGAGGTTTGTGGGGTGGGATGGCGGGTGGGCGGGAGGAGTCACCGTGCTCGGATGACCAAGGCCCTCTGCTTCCCCGAGACGCTGAACGTGTATGGCTGCCCTTGGGACTCGACCTCCTGCAGCTGTTGGGCGGGAAGAGCGGAGTCGCTCGTCAGCACGCACCGCGCCGCGTGTCAGCACGCGTGCCGGAGCGCACGCTGGGATGAGCCGGGGGCTCGTTGCTGAGATGCGCATCCTTTATTCTGAACCACAAGACCGGGCGGCTGATGATGTCAGAGACACTGAGCTGGCACCGTTGACATCCACGATTTGAGTCCGTGTGGTTCAACGGGGTTCTCCAGTGGAGGGAGCTGATGATCTATGCCCGGTTGCCAACGGCTGCACAAACACCGCTGTGTTGAATTTGGGTTTTTTCCTTTATTTGACAAAATGTAAGCACCGATCGCTACAAATATTGGTGCGATGTTACGAATATCTCGACACCAGACTTTGTGGGTAAGTTCAGTTCCCCTGGTGTGGATAAGAGAGGTCACACTAAGGAAGTCAGTAAGCCACAGCCGTCTGTGGCTTACTGTTCTGACGCAGGCACCAATTCAATTCCTGACCAAAGAGACACCCAGCCCTAAGGGCTTGAACCCTGGCCACGTCTCCATCAATAAAGTCATCAGCATCCTTAGAAACACCCAGCACCCCGACGGCTTGAGCACAGAACCTAAGAGGTTGTTGCTCCATTATCCTGACATGAACATCGGCATCTGAAAGACAGCAGCCACAGCCCGTCGGGGCTTCCAGCACAAAACCCCTCGGACGTGCTGGTCCGGTGCTCAATCAACGATGCACGCCCGCCCAATTGAGCCACCCGCCATCGCGGCCAGCAACGCGAGTGGCAAAGTCGCGTGGAGTTTGTGTGGAGGTGAATGGGGAGGGGGGGGGGTGGGGAGCTGGCGCTTGCAGCACCTGCATGCCGTCAATGTTGAGCCTCGTGCGTACGCTGAATCGCTGCTGCCCCATGAGTCGCAGCTTGGGCACGCAGTAGAGGAGCATGTTGTTGAACTGGGGTTGGAGGGATAGGCGAACGCACGCACGCACGCACACATACAGCGCAAATTAAACGTTGTGTCTCTCGGCTTGTATCTTTGAAACAAAAAATGTTTTTGCCATGCTCAGCTGCTGCTGCTGCTGGGACAAAGGCCTTGCCGAGCTGCCGACGCCGCATCGTTTATTATTTGTTGCTTGGTTGGAGAAGTGGCGCCGTGATTAGCTGTGAACCTGCCAGCCTGACTATAACCAGTCACGGCTAATATCAGTGGCGGATGCCATCGGAACCAGGACTGGGCCCCTACCCCATGGCTTCACCAACTCAGCCAGTGCGTGAAGCTCAGCCAGACTTATAACGAATTGTTCATGCCTGAGGCTCAACGAGCCAGAGGAAGGCAAGTTCAGAATGACTCGAGTTCAGTGCTAATTCATGAACATTCGAGAGTCACACGAAGGCACCTATAGAATCTATTTTTCCATTGTACAACCAAGCTGCACCGGAGCTATCCCGTGTCAGCCTGGTGCAGCTGAGGAGGTGCTAGGTTGTTTTTCACACTGCAGAAGCTGAGCTGTGCCAATGGCACCAATGAGATTTGGGAACACTGTTTCTCCATATATGTACGTATGTTGAACTTCTTTCGCACCGTACGTAGCCAACCATGCCATGATCGGAAGTTTCGGTGGAAGGGCAACAAACTAAACGCAGTGTAATCGCTGGTTTCACAAGCAATGAACCCCGAATTAGCCTTGTCAGTCCAGTTTATTACGGTTAGGTTTTGGCTTGGCACGGCAAATATCCAATGAAAATGCCACCTGTACCATCGAAGTCCTGCGCTGGCTCAGCTCGGATGTGCCAGTGGAAAAGGGGTATTCACATTCCCAGGCAGGGTACATTGATGAAATTCAAGGCTCGGAGAGAGCGAGCGAAATCGGCGAAGCCGCAGCCAGCAGCTTGGAAGCCGCATTGCGTTCAGAGCCAAGGCTAAACGGTAACAGAGGCCTCAGCGTCACAGGTCCGGCCCCGGGGCTCCTACCAAGAAGAGGTGCCTCTCCTGAGCGGTGCCGTTCTTCGCCGACAGCTTGAGGATCTGGCCCTCCTTGATGAGCTCGTTAGACGGGTGGACGATGTCTTCCTCACCGTCCAGCATCTCGTACACCTCCAGCAGCTTGTGCATTTTCTCCTGCGTCGCCCAGGCGCAAGACAGGAATCGGAATGTTTGTTTAGACTGCAGGAGGGGGAATCCGATGAGCCGTGAAGCCTTTTTTTTAGAGATGTCCAGTATGGGCGGGTCAGTCCAACAACAACAATAACAACGCCGACAATTATTATAGAGAATGTTTTCAATAAGTAAAGTTATGTTTTTAGTTTATATATACTTTTACATAACCTGTTACTTGGAGGAGCACGGGCAATTTGTTCTCAGCCAGCCGGGAATGGATAGGAAAGGTTGAATTATTGGCATTAACAAAATAAGAATCTGTAGCGAGCATAAAAATAACTTAAGTACAGTACAGTCAATATAGCAAGTGTTTTTTTCTTAATTGCGCACCGCAATGTAACGTGCATTTGGAGTATTTTGGCCGCTATACATTTCCACGCGTATAAGCCACTTCGTTGAGCTATCAATTGTGGCCAGGTCGATTCTGAAAAAAATAGCTACATAGCTCAGTGGGGCCTACATGGTAAAACAAATAAAAAAAAGTTTGGATTTAGTGCATTCTCTAGTGGTCCATTAAAGAGTTGCATTGTATTCATTGGCAGGTCACGTGTACAGTAGTAATACAGTGAGGGAAAAAAGTATTTGAGTCCCTGCTGATTTTGTACGTTTGCCCACTGACAAAGAAATGATTAGTCTATAATTTTAATGGTAGGTTTAGTTGAACAGTGAGAGACAAAATAACAACAAAATCCAGAAAAACGCATGTCAAAAATGTTATAAATTGATTTGCATTTTAATGAGGGAAATAAGTATTTGACCCCCTCTCAATCAGAAAGATTTCTGGCTCCCAGGTGTCTTTTATACAGGTAACGAGCTGAGATTAGAAGCACACTCTTAAAGGGAGTGCTCCTGATCTCAGCTTGTTACCTGTATAAAAGGCACCTGTCCACAGAAGCAATCAATCAATCAGATTCCAAACTCTCCACCATGGCCAAGACCAAAGAGCTCTCCAAGGATGTCAGGGACAAGATTGTAGACCTACACAAGGCTTAAATGGGCTACAAGACCATTGCCAAGCAGCTTGGTGAGGTGACAACAGTTGGTGCGATTATTCGCAAATGGAAGAAACACAAAAGAACTGTTAATCTCCCTCGGTCTGGGGCTCCATGCAAGATCTCACCTCGTGGAGTTGCAATGATCATGAGAACGGTGAGGAATCAGCCTAGAACTACACGGGAGGATCTTGTCAATGATCTCAAGGCAGCTGGGACCATAGTCACCAAGAAAACAATTGGTAACACACTATGCCGTGAAGGACTGAAATCCTGCAGCGCCCGCAAGGTCCCCCTGCTCAAGAAAGCACATATACATGCCCGTCTGAAGTTTGCCAATTAACATCTGAATGATTCAGAGGACAACTGGGTAAAAGTATTGTGGTCAGGTGAGACCAAAATGGAGGTCTTTGGCATCAACTCAACTCGCCGTGTTTGGAGGAGGAATGCTGCCTATGACCCCAAGAACACCATCCCCACCGTCAAACAAGGAGGTGGAAACATTATGCTTTTGGGGTGTTTTTCTGCTAAGGGGACAGGACAACTTCACCGTATCAAAGGGACGATGGACGGGGCCATGTACCATCAAATCTTGGGTGAGAACCTCCTTCCCTCAGCCAGGGCATTGAAAATGGGTCGTGGATGGGTATTCCAGCATGACAATGACCCAAAACACACGGCTAGGCTCAAGAAGAAGCACATTAAGGTCCTGGAGTAGCCCAGTCAGTCTCCAGACCTTAATCCCATAGAAAATCTGTGGAGGGAGCTGAAGGTTCGAGTTGCTAAATGTCAGCCTCGAAACCTTAATGACTTGGAGAAGATCTGCAAAGAGGAGTGGGACAAAATCCCTCCTGAGATGTGTGCAAACCTGGTGGCCAACTACAAGAAACGTCTGACCTCTGTGATTGCCAAAAAGGGTTTTGACACCTATTACTAAGTCATGTTTTGCAGTGGGGTCAAATACTTATTTCCCTCATTAAAATGCAAATCAATTTATAACATTTGTGACATGCGTTTTTCTGGATGTTTTTGTTGTTATTATGTCTCTCACTGTTCAAATAAACCTACCATTAATTAAAATTATAGACTGATCATTTATTTGTCAGTGGACAAACGTACAAAATCAGGAGGGGATCAAATACTTTTTTCCCTCACTGTATATGTACGTGTGTTGAACATTTTTTCGCACCATATGTAGCCAACCACGCTAATCGAAGGTACGGGGAAGGACAACAAACTCAACCCAAAAAGCAATGAAAATAAATTTGTTTTCAATCTAGATTTAAAAGTACGTAGGTCGAGTGGCTTCCTATTATCGTAAGGAAGAGCGTTCCAGACGGCCGCAGAAGCACATCTCTGACCGTCTTCGATGGCCAGCCAAAAGCCGTTGCTGCGAGAATGAGTGGAGTTTCCGTGGATTGGCCAGGAACATTCATGGTTGGATATTTTTAAAGTTCATGATTGTGAATGCATTTATAAATGTTTCTCACCATTTTCCTGATGGCGGCATTGGAATGGTTTGCAGCTGTGGAGATGATTTCCAAGGATTCTGAAAAAGAAACGTAAGACGTTTACTCATTGGTGCATTCTTTTGCAACACTTCAAAAAGGCGGTTTTGCTGAATAAGAACAACAAACCAGGTCATCTTTGCAATGCACATTTTAACTTGCTCACAGATATTAAAACGGTGATGATAATGGTTAAACGCGTTATGTTTATACTTGTTTGCCTCATTTACATCTTGGTCGATAGACTTTTACTGTCGTTGTATTTTCACATGTGTTTCACACTACGTCACACAATTTTTGTTCCTGCGTATTAAGCATTCATTTTTTAATTGCGTATGCCTAAAAAGTATAGAAAATGGCTATTATTCCTCACAAACGTTTATTTTGTGACCAGGACTTTACGTGAAGGAATGACACAAATGCAAACGTTTTCCCATTGAAAATAGGTACATTTCAAAATATCTCTGTCCTGGGGAATAATAGCCATTGTCAGTACGTTTGAAGCATAAGCAATTAGGAAATAACACTAACTACCCAGGAAATGGTTTTGTTACACAGTGTAATTAAAGGAAAGTATTATTCGTATTATTAACGTTATTACTTACCACATAAATGGCAACTATATTGAATGACAACCACAAACTCTAAAAAATAAATGGTTCGGAATACGGCACTCGTTGTTGTTTTGCGTTCGGTAGCCTAAAAAAAGCAGGGCCCAGACACCCATCGGGAGTTGAATGACGACGGTGGCAAGAGGTCACTTGTGGGGGAATTAAATAAACAATTCGGTGCATTACTGACAGCGACGCGCCAGACAGCACTGGCGAAGGATGTCAGGGCTGGTCACGATCACAAGCGTCGCGCTGGGCAGAAAAAAAACAGTATAGTTGAAATATGAAGACCGTCGTGATGACGCGGAGGGAAACTGGGACCCACGCGGGCACACGCACAGACCGTTGGGGCAAGCACTGTTAGCGGGAACCTATTCAGGGCCTGTACGATGGGACGGTGCATCCATCGATGGCACGCGGTAGGGCCAGGACCATGCACACAATCCTGACCTCTTTTGCCTCCTCAAATCTGACATTTACCACAACACTGCACCAGGGGATCTTTCCAGGCTTAGTTGACCTACTTGCGCTGCAGGTTGCTTCATTTAACCCCATCACGTGAATTGTTTCCTCGTTGATAGTAACATTTAAAGCATCGTGACCTGCCTTCTCTCAATGTACACCGTGCTATTACATTCATTCTCATTCTTTGCGCTGCTTCCAAATAAAAATGGTACATTTTAATTCCATGGTCAATCTTGTGCCGTGGTGGGATCTGCCGTCGTTTCATTTTGTTTGATCCATTCCCAAATGAATTCGCAGTCATGCTATCGACATCGCATCACCGGAGGGAGATATTCTCATTTGGAACAGTCGCGGTGAGCTCGCGGTGAGCGGTGAGCATCCCGAGAACACGGTATCCCAGAACTACTTCTGAAGTCGCTTCAAATAGGCCTCTTTATAACACCGTTTGTACTCCCAGCGGACAAAACTGTGTTTCGTCGCGTGTCAAACGAACTCAATGTTTAACTTTGCAGAGGAGGATTGTGTTAAAACACGCAACTATAAATATGACGACGCGTCCCTTCGTGCGGTCATCGGTGAACCTGTGGACAACATGAACTCGTCACACGTGAGAAACCCGTGTTCACCATGGGTGACTGCAAGCCCAGATTTGAAGCCAAAATTTCAGTGGTGGCTGGCTCGGTGCCCTGGCATAGGATTTGCCTCCTAAGCCACTAAGCCAACTCTGTGCGAAATCCTGTTTTTTTTTTTTTACAGCGAGTCTCCCTCCGCCTTCCGTGTGCAACTCTCCGTCAGCGGTCGAGCGAGCGGCTCGCCATCGGAAAGGGCGCGAGTATCAAATCCCCCGGTTGGGTGCTGATTCAGCTAATTATGCCTCCGAGGGCCGATAAAACGAGCACCACTTGAGTGTGGAAGTTAACAGTGGTTGTTCTGTGCAGAGACTCGTTCCCGTCACAGGTACGTGGAACCTCCACCACTCGCTTCGGAAGGAGACAGAACACTGCATCGATGCTCGCTTGAGTAAAAAAAATTACTTTGGCCAATTGGAAAGTGCCGCCGCGCGACATAAGAGACGGGTGCCAGAAATATGCGGCACTACTTTGGCACAAGACAGAGGAAAGTGGAAACAAGTGACCAAATGTGCAGTGGACACCTACGGGCTATCTGCCCGTGGATCGTCAAAAACGCGCGCAGGTTCGCGCAGGACGTGCTCGGGCGCTCGCGCGGCGGTGCCGGGAGCAAAGGCGGGACGTGCGGCGCTCACTCTCCGCGTCCTTGCGATCGACCGCGTCCTCGGGCAGCCGCTTGAGGTAGTCGCGGAGGAGCAGCTCGTACCGCGGGATCCTCTGCACCGGCTCCAGCATGTGGTGCTGCAGCGTCAGGTTGTGGCAAATATCCCGCTTCTGTTTCATTCAAGGTGGGGACGTGGCGGCGGGGGTGGGGGGAGGGGGGAAGTAAATGGAACAAATTGAAATAATGAATATTGGGTAGGGGTGGTTTGTAGCGATTCACACGGTGGGTGGGTTTGCCCTGTAGTGGGACAAAGTGTGGGCACGTCCACCTCTCCCGGGACATTTTGCCAGCGTGGAGGAGTCTCGCAAAATACCCCTCTAGAGCAGCGGTGGCCCAACTGGCATCTCCTGAGCTCTTTAAATCCACCACATGTGGCTCTATCGAAGGGGCATAACGTAGAACACACTGCCATCACAGTAGCAAAGAATAATTAAATGTCTCCCGTGCTGTGCCAAAAAGTGTCAGTATACACACTTAGATATGCACACTCGGCTCTGTGCAGAACTCATGGGTGCTTTTTGGCTATTTGTCTTATTGTCTGTTATGGGTTGGCCACCCCTGTTCTAGAAGGGGGCATCTCTAAAGCGCCCTATGGTGAAGGCCCTTCCGCCATAGGTGGCGTGAGCGAGACACTGCAGTGTTGCACCTTTCACCTTATTTTTCACAACAAAGAATCAGGGGAGTTGGTTTTCATCGAACATTGATGGCTCTGAGCCCAAGGTGGAAATTCCACATCACTCTGGTGGCATGGCAGTGAAGAAAAGTGGGGTGGGTGAACCCATCCTTGTGAGCCTCTTGGTGATATCCTCCTCAAATGTGTAGGTTTTGTATGTATATTGAACTCCTACATAGCCACCCGTACTAATCGTGCTAATAGGAGGTTTTAATGCTCTGCGACGCAAGCTTTTGTGCCCGTTCACCTACGGCTTAGAGAGGTGACCAAGAGATATCAGCGCTGTCGTGAATTCTTGATTCCATCTGTGCAGAACTTTTTTTTGAGTATTTACCCATCCGCCCCCCCCCAGTGGGGGCGAATCGGGTTCCCCTCGCGCTTGCAGGACGCTCCCACACGAAAGCTCGGGGTGTGTTAAATTAATTTGAATCGGCTGAAACATTCCACAGAAGGCAGACGTCCATGAGGATCTCCTGAAAATAGATGCCTGAACCACCAACCCAGCAGCCACCCCCGAAAGCGCCACTTCACAGAGTTCATCTGGTTTCTTTTTAATGATAATTTTCCCACTCGAGAGAACAGACGGACTTGGCACGCTCTTGGAAGCCTGAAATAATAGCAAACACACGGCCAGCGGGGACGCTTTGAGCTCCCATACATTTAAACAGACGGGCCCTCCATTGGGTGTTCAACAGATGCAGCAAACTTAATCTTTTTTTTTTACCTGTTTCTTCCATATTTATTATATACGCTGCAAAATCTCTCTCCGTCTGATGTTGATTTATATTTATAAAAAAGCTTTTGTCCGAAAAGACAATTATTTCATCATGGTACTGATGCGGCATGGAATGCATTTCCTGGATTTTTTTCTTTCAAAAGAGTCAAAGAAGCGCATATATGGCTGTTGTCCACATCTTATCGAGTGAATGAATGCAAAAAGTTGGCAGGGCCGTCCTGAAAAAGAATCACGCAACTCGGCGAGGCTTTCCTTGCATAAACAATCATCGTGACAATATAACGCAACATTTCATCAATAACGAGCGTTTATACACGATGATGATGATGATGATACAGCACCTGTATCTCCTGGATGATGGCCTTGAACGGGGAAGACTTCTCCATCCACGTGTTGAGCAGGTCCATGGCTCGATCAAAGTTCTTGACGTACTCCCCATACATCTTGAGGAAGGGAGCTAGCTTCTGTAGGACATCTCCGATGCGGGGATTCTCGTGCCTGTACAGCAGACGGGGAGGGTCAAACAAACGGGCGTGCCTTGTAGAGACCGGCCCTGTCAAGGGAACGAGGACTCTCCACCACTGGCTCAGGTCGGATAGTGGAGGTGAATTGCCCGCCACGTTGCTTGCTTTGAGTGGAATTGAGAAAATCTGACCTGACGTTCGCAATTATTTATTATGCGCACGGATGGAGTCCTGCCTTGGATATAGAAACATTATTTATTTTATTTTCAAGAAGCCGCAGTGGTGTAATGGTGAAAACGCCGGCCCGGTTCTCGGCAGCTGAAACGATGGTGCGACTTTCTTAAATCCCCACGCCCACCGCCGCCTTCATCCACCCAGCAGTGTCAAGGTGTTCACGGCAATTAAGTCGATCGGTAGGTCGCGCACGGTGCGGTAAAGTGTGAGTACTCCCCAAGACGCGCAGCCAGTGTGGATGAGTAAATATCACCCAGAGGGCCTCTCTATAGAGTTCTCTGGTGGAAGCCCTTCTATGCATGTGCATGTGTACATTGAGCTTATTATGGACCGTACGTAGCCAACCGTGCTAATCCGAGGTGCTGGGGGAAAGACAACAAACTAAAACGCAAAAAGCAATTCTCAAGAAATCAGTTTTCAATCTAGATTTTAAAAGTGCATAGCTTCAGTGCTTCCTAATATTGTAAGGAAGAGCGTTTCAGATGGCTGTGAAAGCGCATCTGGAAGCACGCGATGCGGTGACCGTCTTTGTTCGATGGCCAGCCAAAAGCCGCTGCTGCTGCTGCTGCAGAGAGGAGTGGTGGCCGTGACTCCACTCCCAATGTGACCGATGCCTCATGGATTGGCTCACAAGCGACAACATCACATTTATCCCTCTATTTAAGACCGAAGCAGGAGGATTTCTCCACAACTCTGGTGGTCCGCCTGGTGATGCTATTGTCTAATTTCTGGCGAAGCATTGTACTTGAATTATGAATCTCGTGGGTTTACTCTCCAACACATAACTGGTGTGCTGAACTGGTAACGAATTGGCACGTTTTGTTTACTTGACAAACCTTTTTGCGTTTTAGTTTGTTGTCTGTGGTGGCGGCTTTAACGACACATTTATATTTACGCGATCTAACCTAAAAACCTCTATTATGGATGCCTCATTACTTTTCAGCACCTCCCGCTTTCTGTCGCCCCCCCACCCCCGTCCAGCTACGACCAAGGCCTATCCCGACACCTGCTTGTCAATCCCTCTTGTTCTGTTGCCAACAAAACCTCACCACAAAAACCCAATTCTTCATTTCAAAACATTATCATCCTGTGTACACTTTTGCAATCGATGTAAAGCACCTCGGTGAAAGGCGCTATATATATCTTCATAGGATGAGCAGCTGAATTTCCATTGGGGACAACTTTGCAAGCAATGTTTAAGCAGACAAAGTCATTCCCCTCTCGTCCCACGAGCCATTTAGGCCACGCTGTGCCAATCGCTGATCAGTAATTTAGTTTTTTCCCTCCCAAGTAATTTGAGGTTACATTTGTGTCGCAAAAAAACCAAAAGCCAAGCAAAGCCTTAATGCGGCTTAACCCCAAATTACAAAATCCCATCTGTACGCCCCGCTTCCGTGAGCACAAATGACATCAGATTCGACGTTTATTTATAAACTGCTTCTCCGGCAGCTGCAGAGAACTGCGTGTCACACACCGCCAAAGGAAGCCACATTCGCCGTCAGGAGGATTGACGCAGGGGGCTATCCCCCTCCTCTCACTAATTACGCAGACTGGGGGAAGGAGAGATTAATAAATAAAATGTGACTGTGGGGGCGCAAGCCAATTGATCACATTTCAACCAAAAGAAAAGAGGTGTTATTATTGACAGCAGGGATGCTGCAATGGTGCGATGGGTCGCACGCTTGGGACGTGCAATCCTGGGTTTTTGCCGGTTTCATTCGACCTCCTGGCACGGCAGTTGACATGCGGGGCGAGTTTCTTGCACCTCTCGTGCCTCTGTCCACCCGGCGGTGTAAACATGGGTTCACCGCAGTTAGCCGATTGTTCATGTTATGTGTGGTGGGGTAAAGTGTGGGGACTCCACCCTCTTCCAAGGTGTCCAAGCAGCACAGTGGAGGGGGACTAAGAAGGGCACTTTAGAGCTCCCTCTAGCGGATGCCCTTCTGCCAGCAGTGGTGTGAGCATGCAATTGCGGGAATGCGCCTTTACCTATCTGCATCTATGTGCATCTCCGATTAGCACGTTTCTGTGTCTGTCCACACGGTTGGCTACGTACGGCGCCGAAATAAGTTCAACGTACGTACCTAACATATCCATGGAGAACCATGCGGATAGCAGGGGTAACCGTGAAAATAAACATTATGCTATTTTAAAACGACAACTATTTTTCTTTATTTTACCAGGTAAGGGTCACTGAGCTATGTAGCTCTTTTTCAGAAGCGACTTGGCAACAAATGATAGCTCAATGAAGTGGCTTATCACGTGTACATTTATAGCAGCCAAATACTCTAAACGCATGTTTCCAAATGTGGGGGGAAAAACCAGAGGACCCGGAAAAAATACGTGACCATTGGGAGGACACGCAAATTCCAAATATACAGGTGTCAGGGTCGGGATCGAACCCACGCCTCCTCTATACCAGGTGAGGTAGGTAACATCTCACCACAGCGTCGGATAACAGGATCCACCTACAGCACCCCGCGCATCGCGACAGACGCAAGGAACGTCACCGCGCGCGCGTAGACTCACCACTCCTGCATGCGTTTCTCAAGCTCGGGCAGCAGGAACTCCTGGTGGAACATGTGAATCGTGGAGGTGTTTGAGAAGATGCCGGTCACCACGTCGGCCGGGAAGGTGCTCTTGATGCAAGACTCCTCGAGCAGTCGGGCGCAGAAGACCTGCTCGCAGGCAGGGCACGTGATGGAGAGACGCACATATGTATGTATGTATGTCCGTTGAACTTATTTTGCACCGTACGTAGCCGGCCGCGGCGGAAGGACAACAAACTAAACACACTAAGCGGTTCTAAAGAAATGAGTATTCAATCGAGATGATTTAAAAGTGCATAGCTCCAGTGGCTTCCTAATATTGGAAGGAAGAGCGTTCCAGGCGGCCGCAGAAGCGCATGTGAAAGCGCGAGCGACGCGGTGACCGTCTTAGTTCGATGGCTCGCCCGAAAAAGCCGCTTGCGAGATAGGGACGAGCGTCGGCAGTGCACCCTAGGGGTCATCGCCACGGCGATGAACACCTGCCAGCTAAGCAAATCGACATGAGGTCAAGTTTATTTTGTTGAACCAGGTGGGAGCTAAAGGAGAGCAGGACAGCCTCATTTGCAAGAGACCTGGGCCACCGAAACGACAAAAGCATACCCGCTAAAATAAAGGACAGCGATTAAGCAAATAGAAATCAGCGCACGAACAACTGCGTCGTACGGGAAATGGAAAATATTCTACGAATATGATTCGATGTGAAATTATAAATTATCCGTCGACTAGTGAGCAAGTCGACTCGGGCAGACTTTTTTTTGACTGTGCGCCCGCCTACATCGTGCCTCGCCGAACGTCATCGTCACGTTCACTGCGGAGGAGCCGTCTCCACTCCACGCGGTTTTCGCTTCACGCGGCACTTTTTCGGGCAACGCGTCCACGACCGCGTCGAAGCTTTCGTGGCGCGAGCCGCAGACGCTCTTGCGCCCAACGACAGATCACGTTTTGAAAGCACGCGTCGGAGAACCGTGCCCGGATCTCCGCCGCGCTTTTACTTTTTAATTCGAGTCGCTGCCACGAGATGACGAAGCAAGCGCCACGATAATTCCCTCGCGGTTGAGTTGTTGTTACGCCGCGTCGCCAAGAGAGGCCCTCGCAAACCTGAGTCGCACGGTCCGCCAATGAATCTGCGTTCGGGAATGTTGCCTCCAAGAGCATTATGATCGCGCACCTGACTTATTCGAAGCCCGCAGCGACAAGCAATGGTGCGACGCGGCTGCACATTCACTCATGGGATTTCACGACGTCAATGCCACCGGTCGTTGCCGCCCACCGAACACGGCCTTCTCTCTCTCAGATCCTGCATCTACAGTGAGCTTGGCAGCACAGGAGCAAAGGAGGGAGTGGAGGGGGGGGGAATCCAAACCGAACGTTTGAATCGGGAGTTGAGCCACACGCTCTCTGTCCCCCCATACGTGGGCCCGCCTTTGCTGTTTGGGGGGTGGGGGGGGGGGATGGGCGTGGATCCTTGCTCCCTTGACTTCACAAATATTTCCCATGCCCCCTGCGCTATCGTTGGGAGGTCGACACCCGAACTCCGAGGTCTCCTCCCCCCCTCATATTGTCTCAGCATCTGGCTCGAGGTCTTTCCCGTTGGCCACTGATCTCCGGTGGCCAACCCCAGTGCATATTTCGTTACTGTGCACACACGCGCACACTCACACACTCTCACACACTCTCACACGGTCACAATCGGAATCAGAATATTTATTTACGCTGGACGAATCCGACGAGCTATGAAGCTCTTTTTCACAGAGGTCCAGCAAGGGGCGGGTAAGGATGTTACAACAACAAACAACACAAAACACGCGAGAGCAATGCGAAGCATAAGAAGGGTAAATAAATCACCCAAACACATACAAATACAACTAAACCATCCACATCCTACCAGACATTGCCGACTGAGGTATGAACTTATTTTTCAAAAGCGACCTGGCCACAAATGAGAGCTCAACAAAGTGATTCATCGCGAGGAAGTCTATAGCAGCCAAATAACTCTTCAACGCATTTTCTAAATGTGGAGGGAAGAACCGAAGGACCCGGATAAAAAAATCCACGCTACCACCGGGGAGAACATGCAAACTCTAAATATACAGGCGTCAGAGCCGGTAACAAACCAACGACCACCTGTATACCCGGAGAGGTAGTTAACAACTCGCCATCGTGGCAGCAAAAAAGCCTACTGTATATGCCATCTGTTGTATAGACCAGGGACGTGCGGTCAGGGGAGGCAGGGGAGGCAGAGCCTCACCTGTCATGCTCCAATGAAAACAGCTGTTACGAAAAGTGTAAAAATAGAATAATCAAATTAAATAAATATTAAGATTTTTCCGCTGATCTGTGTTATAAATGTCATTTCTGTACGATTCCAATCATTTTTAAAGTTAAAATTGCCAAATTTGTGGAGCTCCGCTGCAAATACAGGAAGAGGTGAGGCAGCGACGAGCTCAGCCTCCCCTCTGATTGCGCAACCCCTCAGCAACTGGATGGAGCGTAGGCAATAAGCGCGTGCCTGTTACTATCTCAGTACGTCACCAATGTAATGTTTGTAGACCCCTTCATTTTATGTCCTCGCCTTCCATACTCCAGGTAACTTATTTCACGTATGTGTATAAAGATATTTAGGCTTGCTGGTCTCGTCATGAAACTGCAATGAAAAAGCACCAGGGGAGGCAGCTATCACATCTGCCTCACTGAGGGGGACGTGTCTAACACGCCCCCCTCAGTGAGGCCACGCCCCCCTCCATGAGGCCACACCCCCCTCAGTGTGTGAATCTGGCTCTGACACTAGCCGGTGCCTCCCCTGCCATTGACATCACCGCACGCCACTGCTCCATCAAACACACACGTGGAATTCATTAACGATATTTTTCTCATAAACCGCTGCCACGTTGACCGTGCAATCGTATCATATACGTGATCTCAAGGTAAAATCCTCGAGAACGCCCTGGGTGATGTCGATCGGCCACTTCTGGGCCAAAGGTTAAAGGCAAATGAAAATAAGTTTGTCTTGTTCGTGTTTTTGTTTTTTGTTTGTTGTGGTTACACCCGATTCAAGAGCCGAATGGCTCACAGGGCTATACCAAATTAAAAAAAAATGCTTACATTCTTGTATGAATACCAAACGGAATTTGTCAAGCTGCTGCTTCAGTAAAGGAAATGAAGGCCGGTCAGTTGAAATGTCAAGATTTTCCTTTCATTTTGATGACGGCGTACATATGTAACTCCTGTTATTAATTCTAGATTTGAAGCTTTCGTGACTGCAAGGATTCATACGCTTTGGTTTTTTCGGTAAAGTCACGTAGGTAAAATAAAAGAAAACAATTAAATCAAGGTGCAGCGATCTTGCTGTGACTTTTCCACCTGAAGACGGAAGCTTATGTTGCCTCCGAAACGTCGTGATTTAATTGTTTTATTTTATTTTACCTACGTGACTTTACCGAAAAAACCAAAGAGTATGAATCCTGTTATTAATTTTAATTTGCCAGTAATTTAGTTTTTTGCACAGTCGCTGAGCATTGGCTCAAAGGGTGCCATGGTGGAAAGATGTTAACTACCTCGCGTGGTATACAGGAGGTCGTAGGTTTTCTCCCAACCCTGACGCCTGCTGCTGTATATTTGGAGTTTGTGCGTGTCTCTCTCTCCATGGCGAGATGTTAACTACCTCGCCTGGTATACAGGAGGTCGTGGGTTCTCTCCCAACCCTGACACCTGCTGCTGTATATTTGGAGTGTGTGCGTGTCTCTCTCTCCATGGCGAGATGTTAACTACCTCGCCTGGTATACAGGAGGTCGTGGGTTCGATTCCAACCCTGACACCTGCTGTATATTTGGAGTTTGTGCGTGTCTCTCTCTCCATGGCGAGATGTTAACTACCTCGCCTGGTATACAGGAGGTCGTAGGTTCTCTCCCAACCCTGACGCCTGCTGCTGTATATTTGGAGTTTGTGCGTGTCTCTCTCTCCATGGCGAGATGTTAACTACCTCGCCTGGTATATAGGAGGTCGTGGGTTCGATTCCAACCCTGACATCTGTTGTATATTTGGAGTTTGTGCGTGTCTCTCTCTCCATTGCGAGATGTTAACTACCTCGCTTGGTATACAGGAGGTCGTGGGTTCTCTCCCAACCCTGACACCTGCTGCTGTATATTTGGAGTTTGCATGTTCTCCCCGTCGTCGCGTGGATTTTATTCCGGGTCCTCCGTTTTTTTCCCTCCACATTTTAGAATCAACATGCGTTTAGAGCAGTGGTTCTTAACCTGGGTTCGATCGAACCCCAGGGGTTCGGTGAGTCGATCTCAGGGGTTCGGCAGAGCCCCCGCCACGGAGGTCCGGACACACTTGAATTATTGTGTAAATTTGTGATGACACACACGGCCCGCTTGGCCATCACTGGCTGCAGATGATCATGCTACACTGCTTGGCCAATCAGCGCTGCGGGGAATTTAGTGCGTACTCAGTAGTCAACGTGTGACTGTTGTTGTCGTACGTCGTGTGATTTCTTTAATATTTTATCCATACTAACTATGTCGGGCAAAAGAAGAAAGTGGTCGGACGAATATGTACAACATGGATTCTCATGTATCACGGAACGTGATGTGAGTGAGCGTCCTATCTGCATGATTTGCAACGCCAAGTTGAGCAACTCTAGTCTTGCACCGGCAAAACTAAAGGAACACTTCTTGAAGCTGCATGGAGACGGGGAATACAAGAACACAACACTTGCTGAATTCAGGGTGAAGAGAGCCAGATTCGGTGAAAGGGCCACTCTGCCTGCTCTTGGATTTGTACCTGTTAACAAACCGATCCTGACAGCATCGTACGAAGTTGCTTACCTGATCGCAAAGCAGGGCAAGCCACACACCATTGGTGAAACACTTGTGAAACCAGCTGCATTAAAGATGGCGAATCTGATACTCGGAACAGCGGCCGAAGGTAAATTATCCCAAATTCCCCTTTCAAATGACACCGTCAGTGACAGAATAGAAGACATGAGTAAAGACATCTTGGCTCAAGTAGCCGCGGATCTGATTTCAAGCCCGGCAAAATTCAGCCTTCAACTCGACGAAACCACAGACGTTTCTGATCTAAGCCAGCTTGCTGTTTTTGTACGCTATGTGAAAGACGACATGATAAAAGAAGAGTTTTTATTTTGTAAGCCTCTTACAACAACAACGAAGGCAGCCGATGTGAAGAAGCTTGTGGATGACTTCTTCAGAGACAACAATCTTTCATGGGATATGGTTTCTGCAGTTTGTACGGACGGAGCTCCAGTCATGCTGGGAAGAAAGTCTGGTTTTGGTGCGCTAGTAAAAGCCGATGCACCACACATCATTGTGACGCATTGTATTCTGCACAGGCATGCATTGGCAACAAAAACCTTACCTCCAAAAATGGCAGAAGTATTAAAAACTGTGGTGGAATGTGTGAACTATGTGCGAAAAAGTGCTCTGAGGCACCGCATCTTCAGTGAGCTGTGTAAAGAAATGGGCTCTGAATTTGAGGTACTTCTGCTCCATTCTAATATTCGGTGGTTATCCCGGGGACAGGTGCTGAATCGTGTTTTTGCCATGCGTGTGGAATTAGCCCTGTTTTTGCAAGAGCACCAACACTGCCATGCAGATTGCTTCAAAAATCCTGAGTTCATTCTCATTTTAGCATACATGGCTGATATATTCGCAGCTCTCAATCATCTCAATCAGCAGATGCAGGGTGGTGGAGTCAATATCATGGAAGCGGAAGAACACCTGAAGGCTTTTCAAAAAAAGCTACCGTTATGGAAACGACGAACAGAGAACAATAACTTCGCAAACTTCCCGCTTCTGGACGACTGTGCAAGTAAGATCGAAGATGTGTCTGGAATCGGAGATATTTCTGTATCCACGGAACTGAAGCAAACAATTGCCACACACTTAGATGAGCTTGCAAAGTCTCTCGACGGATATTTCCCTACAAGAGAGTCATATCCAGCATGGGTGAGACAGCCGTTCACGTTTGCTGTTGAAACAGCAGATGTCAATGATGAATTCCTCGACGAAATCATTGAAATTCAGCAGAGCCAGGTTCAACAGCAACTCTTCAGAACAACAACGCTCTCAACGTTTTGGTGTCGACAAATGAACAAGTATCCAGTTATTGCTAAGAAAGCCCTGGATTTTTTTATACCATTTGTTACAACATATCTTTGTGAGCAATCCTTTTCGAGGATGCTGGACATAAAAACGAAGAAAAGGAACAGACTTTGCTGTGAAAATGACATGAGAGTGGCACTTGCCAAGGTGAAGCCACGCATATCTGAACTGATCTCTCAAAGGCAACAGCAGAAGTCACATTGATTTCCAGGTATGTAATTTGTTGTGAGTTTATGCATTGTGTTGGTTTTATTCTTTGAACAAGGTAATGTTCATGCACGGCTCATTTTGTGTACCAGTAAAAAACATATCTATGTCTTGAATTTGAAAAAAATCACATTTTATTTTTCACTAAAGAGGGGTTCGGTGAATGCGCATATGAAACTGGTGGGGTTCGGTACCTCCAACAAGGTTAAGAACCACTGGTTTAGAGTATTTGGCTGCTATGAATTTCCACGCGATGATTAGCCACTTCGTTGCGCTATAATTTGTGGCCAGGTCGCTTCGGAAAAAGAGCTACATAGCTCAGTGGGTCTTACCTGGTAAAATAAAAAAAATTGGTTGGTTTTAGTTTAGTTTAGCTCTCTCCCACGATATCTCACGAGCTCTACGAGTCTGTGGACATATTTCAAACATCTTAAAATCTATTTATACACTTCTGTTTTTTTCCACTACGAGTCAATTCAGAAAATGGCGTCAAGCATTAATTTAATTCTTGTTATGATCAAAATATATTTTTTGTTTCACGAGTTATTTGTTTACGCTGAGTGTCTCCCTGCTGTGTTTTGTACAGCGCTTTGAGATCCTCGATTAAATGCGCGATATAAATTGTAGTATTATTCTACTTGTTATATATAAGTCATATTGCATTTGTGGTCCGAGTGAGAGAGCTGAGAGACACACAGAGAGAAGTGGCTACCTTGTCCAGGAGGTGAAGTCTCGTCACGTACGCCCTCTCGGTCTGCAGAAGCTCATCAGCAATTTTGTACAACTTCTCCTTGGGAGGCTCCTGAAAGGCCACCACACAATGCAGCACAACGGTTAAACGCCGACCTCGGTTTGTGTTCCGTTAACCATCCGCACCTCCGATTACGCACGGTTGGCTACGTACAACGCGAAAGAAGTTCAACATGCATGCACATATATACGTACTGCCGAGTTTCAAGTTGTTTTCGTTTAACGAGGTGAAAACTTCAAAAGACCAGGACAGAGTCTCATTTGCAAGATCGACCCGGGGCATTGGTCTGGCAGTAGACAGGGCAATGATCGTCTTGTATACTATCTAATGGAGTAATTTGTGGTGCTGATTTGTTATAAATTGGCAAATTCGGACCAATGGCTCCAACACTGAATGGTCCACTCTTTCGAGATGACGTCACTGTGAAGCAGACGGAGTGTAGTTATTGGTAGTAGTAGTCGTCATTATTGATGTTGTTGTTTCACACCGGAGGAATAATCAGGGCAGTCGCCAGATTCGAACCCCGTGGAACCTCTTGCAAAAACGAGCGGTGAACGCTCACCACAACGAAGCCATGGTGGCTGTTGTTAAGTGAACAATGAGGTCACGGAGACACGGCTTTAAATATAAATCGTTGGGGCAACCCAACTTTCAGATTATTCTACCAGGAATTTGGCTGACGATTGGTTTGCATTGGAAGTTATCTATCAATTTTTTTTCACGAATTCAGAGAGGCGACAATTTTGCGGACACGTCCTCACCGCTAGAAGCATTGAGATTTTTTTGTTCGTTTTGTTCGTACACCATACCCCGTGCGAGATACAGAGCACGACGGACTATATACGACGACGAAATGAAGACGGTTGACGAACGGGTGGGGGCCGTGCAATGAGCGAGCGAGTTGACGAGCGAGCGAGCCGGCGAGTCCTATACGGCTCGCGCTCATGCCCCCCCTCCCCCCAACAACTCCCCCCCCCCCACCACCCCCCACAAACTCACGGCCGTTTGCGAGTCTCCTCCGAGCTCGGGCGCCGCGTGTCTCGTCGGCTCCGCGTTGTCGTCGCTGCTCCCCTCCTCGAGATCGCTCTCAAACTCCTCGAGCGTCTCTCTCCTGCGGCTGTCGCGCGCCAGCTTCCGCCGCTCGGCAGCGCCACCCGTCTCTCCCGGCGCCGGCGGGACAGCCTCCGACCGCACGCCACACTGCAGCCAATCCGTGGCAAATTGGCGAGGGCCGACAGGCGGAGATGATAAACTATTGAAATATATTATTTAACCAGGTAAGGCCCACTGTTCTGTGTAGTTCTTTCTCAGAAGCGGCCTGGCCACCGCAAATGGTGGCTCAACGATGTGGATTGTCGCGTGGACAATTATCGCACGTTGATTCTCAGTGTGGGAAGGAAAAAACAAGAGGCCCCAGAGAAAAATCCACGCGACCACGGGGAGAACGTGCAAACTCCACATATACAGCAGGCGTCAGGATCAGGATTGAACCCACAACCTCCTGTATACTTGGCGAGGTAGTTAACGTATCGCTGGTGGTGAGTCAAAGGTCAAAGCAATTATTATCTGCAAGTGAAGAGGCTTGTGATTTAGGTATGTGACAATTAATGCCTCCTTCGTTTCGATGATTCGCGATCATGATTTGATTCAATCACACGTGTGTTTTGACATTCAGGTGAATGTAGCGCCTATGGTAAATGTACCATCTCGAGCGGGAACAAGGTTTATGTTCGCAGTGCGGAATCTTTTCCTAACCGAGGGCCGAATAGGACTTTCATATATACCTTTGGTGAGCAACAGATCAATTCACGGATCAGTGACGTCCAATAATAATGACACTTGTTTATCCAGGACAATCGCGCAAACGCACATGCAAATCGAAACTACTCGATCATCATACGCACGACTTGACGTGTGTGTGTGTGTCTGTGTGGGGAGCGCAGCAATTCGCTACGCTGCGCTACGAACCCGGCGTCCCGAGATCGATTCCCGCTCACGGCCAACACCAGTGACGATTATCTGAGCCGGTCCTCGGCCTCCCCTAGGTTGCTGCAGCCTCAAATGAGTACCCGGTGCGATGCGTAAACATCGGGGAGACAAAGGCGGCCGGGCGTGGTGCTGGCCACCCACCCCCTCGTGTTGCTGTGCTGACCTTGATAGACGCTCGCTAGCAGCACTTGCCCCAACAGACTGTTACAGGCTATACGGGTGATCTTCACCTTTGTGCGTCAACCGCTCGCCACTCACCTGGCAGTCCCGATCGTCATCCCTCACGTCGTCGACGCCTTCCCTGCTGTCGGCATCGTCCGCCGGGAACGCCGAGCTCAGGCTCTCGATTCCGCTGTCGCGGTTGGGAATCTTCCCGGGCCCGAAGCCGCCCGGACCAGCACCCGGGGCGCCGGCGGCCGTGGCGGCCGTGGCGGTGGCAGCGCCGGAGGAGGAGGAATCCTCCTCCTCCTCCTCCTCGTCCAGATTGGCATCGTCCTTCCCGCGCACGCAGGCCTTCTCGTCGTCCGCGTCTTTGCGAGCCGCGTCCCGCGGCGTCGGCATCGCCGCCGCGGTCGTCCCGGGCCCCGTCTCAGAATCGGAGTCCGTGCGGCACGAGTCGCGGCGTTCTCCTGCCGACACGGCTGATGTCGTGGTGACGGCAGCAGCAGCAGCAGCAGCAGCCATGTCCCCTTTGTCCGGCGCCGGGTTGCGCCTCTGTATGTTCGGGCTGTGGAGCATTTGTCACGTACGTGCGTAAGCATGTTGAAGATTCTTCCGCCCAGCACGTAGCCGACCGCGCTCGTCAGAGTTGCGGTTGGAAGGACAATGGAGCAAGCGCAAAAAAAAACTGTTCTGAACAAATGAGTTTTCAATCGAGATGATTTAAAAGTGCATAGCTCCAGTGGCTTTCCAAGATTTGAAGGAAGAGCATCTCTATTCGGTCGCTAGCCAAAAGCCGCCACAGAGAGCCGCCACACTTTTAGGATTGCGGCGATCTTGTTTTTCCACAGCGGAGTAATGGTTCACACACCGGAACTTGCGTTCCAAAGGTGGCCGGTTCAATCTGCTGGCACCGTGGTTGAAACAATGAGCCACGTTTCTAAATAACCTCCCCTCCCCCCAAACGGGCCTCTACACAGGTCGCGTGTGATGGGGTAAAGCGTAGGCATTCCACCTCTTACATCACTTGTAAAAAAAACTAAAATATCTAAAGGAGATCTCCAGAACTCCCATTAGTGGAGGACATTCTGCCGGCAGTGGTGTGAACAAGCAATTGTTGGGCTGCACCTTTACCGCAATATGGCCATATGAACCTTATGGCGGGACCCCGGGGTCCCATACGACCCTGGCTCTCGCATAAACTGCCATGCGACGTCATTTTACGTCTGTTGAAGGTGAACGATACAGCAATCTATTCCTCTGGACGAGCTCTACACTTACCACTGAGGAAAACGCGGAAAGGAACCAGCAGCCCACTTTCTCCCCTGCCTTCAACAGGCTTGCACCTACATGTTTGTACACACAGTGATCTCTGTCTGACCCGTCTATCCCACCTCCACAGTGCTGGATCACAGTCATCAGTCATGGTCAATCCCCTGCTGGACTAATGACTCCCCCATGCCGCCGCCACCACTCGCATCGCGCGACGTTAAAGGCTCCACCGAGCACCTGCCCCGCACGCGAACCGATTTCATAGCTCCATCTTCCCGGTGGCTGTTCCTCCTGGCAGCGTTCCGATCCTTGGCTGCCACTCCGTTATTGTTCCTAACCGTGGTTCGATGTCCCTCCTAGCGACGCGCCCCACCAAAGGCCGCTTTAATTCTCTTACTATGGCAGCAGAGCGGTTAACCGTTACGCAAGAGGACATTTCTGGAACAAGTTGCCGCAGGACCTGCGCCCGTGCTTAGTCTGTTGTCCCCCCCCCACCCCCGCACCTCTGATTAGCACGGTTGGCTATGTACGGTGCGAAAGAAGTTGAACGTAAATACGTACATAGGTACAGTGAATCTGACCGGTTGACAACTCTCACCTGCACCGGCAAAGGGCGCCGCTATTCACGTCAACAAGACGCGAGGACGTTCTTCGCTTCGGACTCTCGGGCACCGCGCACGCCACCACGTTCCCAGAACGTACCCGCACAGACAATCGAGGAGGATGTGGCTTCTTGGGCAATCGCCCATCGCTCGCTTGCCTGAAAGCGTGCAACACCACAGCACCCCCCATTCGCTCAGTGCTTTTCACCCCTGTACCTAAATCTTGATTTAAAGCTGTCGTGGCTGCAGGAATTCATACTCTTTGGGTCTTTCGGTCAAGTCACGTAAATGGAAAATAATAAATCACGATGTTTCGATCACAACACAAGCAATCGCCTTCAGGTGAGACGACTGCTTGTGTTGTGATCGAAACGTCGTGATCTATGATTTTCTATTTACGTGACTTGACCAAAAGAGGCAAAGAGTATGAACCCCTGTACCTCTTCGCCTCGTGCGTTTAAAAACGGAATTTTTTTTGCTGACTTGTTAAGTTACATATATATGGAGCGTTGAAATTGCTTCGCCGTTTTGTTTTTCTTTCAGAGAAAGCATTTCGTTCATGGGTGTAGTGGTGGCACTGTGGATAGCGGCACGCTCCACTGTGAACCCGGCCACCTAAGTTTGATCCCTGGTTACGGCTAACATCAGCAGCGAGTGATCCTCTCAACCGGACCTGTGCCCCTTCCTCACTTGGCCGACCCGCACTGACCAGTGAGGTGAAGTATGGTCAAACAACATCTATGACCGATATGGTCCAGGGAGAACCTTCGATCAACAGCGTATTGACTGAATATTTCTATTATTATTATTATTTACTACTAATAATACCACTTGGTGTACAAATGGAAAACACAAGTCCGAACCCTGAATCTCGATTCCCCAACATTATGTCCGCACGTCGATCTTCCTTCGCACCTCACGTGGCCAACCGCGCCGATCGGATCGAGAGATTCCCTCTTCCCGCACGCACGACGCTGCCGCACGCGATCCCCCTGGACGGCGCAAAATAACCAGCGCCGTTGTGGGCGAATGTTCACGGCAAAAGTGAGCGACGCCTCCTTCTTACACTCGTCTCTCGACCCTGGGAAGGAGGCGTTATCATTTCCGCTGCGACGTATCTCTGCTGTGCACGGTACAGCCCGAGCACCCACTTGCACAAACTGCAGCCCGTACTGCGTGAGCGGCGTTTTTTGTCCAGGGGGGGGGGGGGGGGGGAAGCTACGTCGACATTTTGCTCACTGCATTCTCGCAGTGAATACGGTCGGTCGCGTGGCAGCGTTGCCAGGGGTCGAGGCGATGGGGAGTGGGCGCTGGTTGTTTTTGTTGTTGAGTGCACCGACTCGCCCCACACGAACGTGCAACTTCTGCCAGCGGCACAGGGATGAAAGGACACGGTGATAAGCGCCTCGCCACGTTCATTTGAACAAGGAAAGCGCTTCCACTTTAACTCTTCACGGAGGTCTACAGTCAGAAACGTGTAACGTCTTCCCTATATTGTTTAAAAATATCCACCTGTTATTCGCTTACCCGAGGGAAAGAAAAAAAAAGACACTCGACGCTTTCGTCAATGGCACTGCCTATGAACAACGTTTTGGGCAACGGCCCTTTCCGAACAGAACCCAGGCCAGAGGGGTGAGCGGCGAAAAGGCCCCTTCACGCAGCACCCGCAGCACGGCACGCAAGCCAGATGCTGCCGTCACGTGTGCGTGGCACCACACCGACTGGCCCGGCTAACTACGTGCGTACGGTGTGAAATAAGGTTTAACGTACATACATACATACGGCGTTTGCCGGCGCTCCAGTTAATTTCCCAGCGATGTTTCGTTGTTGGCGCCGCGCGTTGAGTGATGCTGCATTGACGGAGTTCGGAGCTTTAGAAAAATACCGTGCGATGTTGGTTTTTTTCCTTCTTTTTTTTTTTGTCATGCATGCGGATGTTTGGTGGGTATGTGGCAATCTCCTAAGCAGTTCTCTATCGGACTCGCAGTTCCTCTTAAGGAGCAATGTATGTGCTCTCACAGCAAATGCGTCGCCACATTATATTCGTGGATAACGTTCTAGATTGCAATTGCTGTGTCGCACTTAGGCCAGGGTGCTTTAAAATCTGGATTGAAGAATTCATTTCCTTAGATCAGATTTTTTTGGGTTCAGTTTGTTGTCCTCCCCACGCACCTCTGATTGAGCACGATTGGCTACGTACGGTGCGAGAGAAGACCAATATACGTACAGGTTGACGCACACCTGAGATGGCATCATCCAGTCGATTGCGCGGTGGGGGGGGGGAGGAGGGGGTTATCTCCGTGTGATCGGGCTTCCTCCGACAAAATGCTCATTGAGCCAACGTCCCAAGCAGAATATCCTCCTTAACATGCTTACGACCTGCGAGTGAAGCATGCTTCCCAACAGTCTTCCTTACCCACATGGCGTGTGGAGGCATTCGTTAAATTACAGATCAACATAGGTCTGTAAATTACGATCATTATCAATCTCATTACTAAACGCTATGAATTTAATTAAGGGGTATTTTTTTTTTGCTTAAGTTAAATCGATAGAAATGCCCGATCGAGCAATTCTGATAACACTGATGAAGGTTCAATATTGCAGTCTTGTATTTGCTACGTGGAAAAGGTTGCCAGAATCGCAATCGAAAGTACTCAGTCCAATTTGGTGAAGTGGTACAAAATGTGCCAGAGAGCATTGTGGATGAAACCAGCGTTCCGTTAAACGTCATCTATCCGATGACGTCACAGCCGCCCCACCGCTGTTGTTGCCCCGCCACCGCTGTGCGAAACAGCGGGGGTCAATCAAAGTTTAACTCCGGCTTCTGAGCACTAGCCTCGCATCGGGCCCCTGACGTGCGTGCGGGGAAGGAGATGGCTCCGCCGATTTGCGCGTGTGAAAGCGTGCGCTTTGCGCGCGATTTAAAGGTACAATCTTCAATCGACCGCGGAATATGAAAAGAAAAGTAGAGCACAGCATTTCAGCGCAAGTGCTAAAACGTGTTGTTCATGTCCAGCACTCAAAGTCAATAGCTCTATAAATACCATGAGTTAGAAGACCTCCTTGTCATCGGTCAGAAGACCTCCCAAGGTATTGCTTAATCACTCCCAACTGCAACTGCAGTTGACTGCCTTTTATTATTATTATTATATAATTCTCTGGTCCACCAACCCCAACTTCAAGTCTGCTATAACTATAGGCCCAGAAAATACATTTCAAATTTTTCACCTAACCAGTGCAGTTGACCTCCCTAATGACATTGTTATTTAAAGCGTGGAGCTGCCTTAATTCCACACACAATTTCAAGCAAAAATATGCAGAGATTCAGATTCACATTTTTATGAAATGACCTATAAACTATTCAACTTCTATTTCATTTTACCAGGTAAGGCCCACTGTCCTATTAAGCTCTTTTTCAGAAGTGACCTGGCCACAAATGATAGCTAAACGAAGTGGCTTACCAAGTGGTAATTTATAGCAGCCAAATACTACAAACACATGTTTATTCTATATGTGGAGGTTGAAACTGGAGGACCTGGAGAAAAAATCCACTCGACCAAGGGGAGAACATGCAAACTCCAAATATACAGGCATCATGGTCAGGATTGAACCCATTAACCGACGACCTCCTGTATACCAGGCGAGGTAATTAACATCTCCTAGCCACCGCAGCGCCCCCAGAATGCATCGTGACACGTTGCAATGTTTTGTCTGTTACATGTGAAAGCGTTGCTAGAATAAGGAGGTTGCCATAATCACAATCGAAAGTACTCACTCAGTCCATCTTGGTGAAGTGTTTAGTACCATGTGAGATAGTATTGGGGGCGAAACCAGGGTTTTGTTAACCGTCATCCATGAGATGACGTTGCACTCCGCTGTGCCACCACCGCCTTACATCGGGGGTCAATACAAGTTGAACTCTGGCGTCTGAGCACTGCCCCGTGTCGCTCTCTTAAAGTGCCGAGAAAGAGATGGCCCACACGATTGTCGCGCGCGAACGCGCGTGTCCTGCGCGCGACTTGAAGGTACGGCATCACAGTGGTGCATTCCCTGTCGCTTTCCTCCATCGTTCATGATGGAGGCAACCAGGGCAATGTTTTCCCCGTGAAAGCGGAAAGAAAAAAAAATCCAAAATATAAATCTGTTGTCCCTGCAGCCATCTCTCTGTCCCCCAACCCACCGCTATGAATCGTCACGATTCAGGGTCGAGCATCAATACAACACGTGCAGGATTGTGGCGAATGCATCGTCTCATGTAGACACAGTGGTCATCATGCGAGCTCCGAGACAAACAAGACATATAAACAAACAAAACGATCACCACGCACGGTACGATGCGTGTCTACCAGGTGTAGGGCAAAAGGTAAAGTTGCAGCCGTGCAACTGGCTTACTCACAACACTGCCGGCAGAAGGAACTCTGCTTGTAAGACCTCGATAGGGGGATTTGGTCTACTCTTCCACGTTTTGCAGACATCTTTGAAAGAGGCGGGAGTACCCACAGTTTACCCCACTGCACGTGACCTGAGGGCCGACTAACCACAATGCGCCGATGTACACTGCTGGGTGGAAGTAGAATCGAACCGGTGACTTCTGGATTGCAAGTACAGTGTTTAAAAATCAGCAAGAAGCTAATCTTCCCCCCCCCCCTCCTCTAAGCTCAGGGAGCTCAGCGTTCAAAACTTCTGTCCGCAGAGTTTCTTTCACCCCCCCTCCCCCACCGGTGCTTTGCACTGGGCTCCAGAAATATAATGAAAAATATTTAAAAGACGGATTGATCGAACAATGCATCATGGCATAGCCATACGCATTACCGCTTAAACCGCCCCAACTGTGATGAGAACGGCGTGGAAGCGGCGTGTGGAGAGAGGCACACAGGGGCTCACCTGGCGCCCCCGAACTTGTTGATCAGCTGCATGACGGTGGAGCTCTCCTTGGACTGCGACTCCATCCTTTGCCTGGGGTCAGGGGGCAGAGGTCGGTTGGGCGGAGGGGGGATGACCCTTGGCGGGGGCTCGTCCGGTGGTGGCGATGACCTCTGGAACGCGGCCGGTTTCGGAGGAACTGCGCAGAATTCGGAACGGAGCACACGGCCCGCGCGTGAAAGGCTGCATCTCGCGACCGTGGCGAATTGAGACTTTGGGAGTAAAAAATAAAAAATATTTTTTTTAAAACCAAAACATTTCATTGCAAAAACAAATGCTGATTCCAGCGCGTTCCATGACTTCCCAGTTCTGAAAACAAGTGCGCAGCCGAAATTAACAATTAACCTCCCATATCCTGCAGCTAGCGTTTCACATTTTGTAAATTTTTGTAGTTTTTTTTTAGTTTTGGCAATGATTATTATTAATTATATTACATACAGTATTTATTTTTAAGTAAAAGTAATACAACGCTTAGGCTTTTAAATAACAGGGCGAGTGGTCTGATGCAACAGCGAAGTGTCCAGCTCACTAGCGGAGGGCCACTCTCTGTACAATGAGGAAACGTGGCCCAGAGTGATTACATTGTGGTTGTGGTAGGCCATGGCGATTAGTTGGGCCGTTGGGAGGTGCATTTAAATGTTTACAGTGCCGGCAGCCACAGGTGCTGTGGAGAACATTTTCATTTTGGAAAAAAAAAATGCTTTCTTGGTGGTGTACGGTGTTAATTATTCACCGCGAGGTTGTGCGCGCATTAGCGAAAGGGTCTGTTGTACTTAGCACTGTGTTGACATTTAAAACTGAACGTGGCAAGGTGCTCAGCTAAGGAAGTGGTGGCAATTACACATTCCTCAGATGGGGACCCAGTCTAGATAACCACGGGATGCCAAAACAATAGCGCTTAATGAATTAAAACAAACGGAGCTGATTGCAGTACAAACGCATTAGACAAACGCACACGGCATTATCACCGCCGCTGACAGCGGATTCCTTTCCTTAAACTCGAAGACTCCCCATGTCGCTACAACCCAAGTCCACCGGCATATTTTTACTCGCAAATTCCCCATTTTTTTACGTCCATTTTTACGAAAGTATTCCCAACTCGCGACTCAATAAAATGTCAAAAGCGAATTTTTCTAAGACTGCCGTGCGATTAAGCCTTGGACACGTGTTTCGGTCATCGTGATGTAAATTGATTGCGTGCGTTTGTATACTTAAGTCAAAGGTCATAAAGCTCTTCGGTCATAGAGCTTTTCGTCAATACCATAGGTCCCTGGTTCCTTTCGACCACAGTGAAGCTTTACCTAACTCTCGTGGAAAATTACCGAAGAGAAAAAAACGTGATTGATAGGCTGAACTCACAGAAAGGACAAGTGACCTTTCTTGTACCCATTTCCCTAACGCACATTTGACTCAAAGGATTATAAAACATGGAACGTTGGGCCAACGTTGGACCAACGGTTATGACCACATGCCAACGTTGCATGTGTCCTGGGAATGCTGCACATCTCTTGGGAGACATGCTGCATTATATTTTACACACACACTGAAACACACAACGCATTACATTTAGTGTAGGCATACGCGTAATGTATATGTACATTATTCTCTAACTTAGAAATACAGAAGTGTATATAATAATATAAATCCACCACATGGCAAGGCGAGATAACATTTTTTTGCTGAATTTATGGAAATTCATTCGCAGCGCATTCACGGCCACTGTCCTTCGATGCTGCGTGGTATCGAGAGAAACGATTACAAAAACAAGAATAGCCTTTACATTTTATGGCAATAAAACAGGTGCTAAGATGTTTAAACATCCAAATAGACACCTATTGCAAAAGGCACCAAGTCTGCATTCACCGCACGTACTTGTGCCAAAACATGCAAACAAACGTGCTCCCTGATAATAAACGCATTATCTTTGAAACCGATTGGCCAACACCAGAGACGGCCTTCTTTATGGCATTGCCTCAACAGTGTTAGACCAGAGAATGCCACAAGGCGAACAGCACAAAGGCAACGCAAGTATCCAAGTGTCAATAGGTCGGGTTGAGCGGTTATATCTTCTACCCTATGCGATACGATTTGTGAAGGTCTACAGAAAATGAAAGTTACACCGCCGACGGGTGTGTGGGCGGTGAATTGGACAGGAGGGACACGTGGCGGTCGGATGTGCGGCGTCGTGACGAACTCTGGGTCGCCCGTTGCAGCGAGGAGTCTTGATCTCGTGCAGCTGGTTACTCTCGCAACACAGATGGCTGATTCAAGAGCTTTACCGAGGAGGAGGAGGCCGTTGATGCATTTTATTAATACATTTTTTTCAAACTCGGCAATGTGTAGAATGCATGAATGCCCACCTGTGCTGAATCCTTGTCAATTCCCCCCCCCCCCACCCCGAATGTTTGTCGTGGCCTCATGCCTTTACAGCCGACTCTTGCACGTAACATGCAGGCACACAAAGTGGCAACCATCCATGGCATGCTGGTGAGTCCAAAAGGCACGGAAACAGATCACGTTTTACGTGTTGCACAGTTACATTTAGATTTAGTATTGCTCAAATGAGCGTGAAGGCATTGGTGGTCCACTCCAGTTTACAGCCATGAGCCAGTGGTGGAAATTCCACATTCCTCTTAAGGCTGATACAAAATGGGTTTGTTTTTGTCTGCCAATGTGATCTGCAGTAGGCACTCATTTAAGGCCGAGACGACTGAGGGGAAGCTCAAAACAAGTTGAAATATGACTTCTCATTGACATTATTTGCAGCTGGGAATCACACCCTGGACAACTAGACTAAAACGCAATGTGTAACCAAGCATTTACATATGCACCCACAGCGGTGTCATACAATGTTTGCAGGCAGTATCAAAAGGAAGTTGTCGTTTCCGAATGTGATTCCTACTGTGGTATCGGTGCCGTGCATAGATGCAAACCGTTCATTTGGAAAATTTGTATGGCAAATGCACCATGCCAAGTTAGAGAACGGCCTGCAGAAAGTGAGGTCGTAGAACTACTCCTGAAATTCCTTTGACCACGACCTCTTGCCCACACTTAACGTGCCCACTATAGATATTATTTTGGCAATGCCGCTCCGATGGCAGTGGTGCACAAACACAAATAACAACAAAACCCTCAAAGACATTCGTCAGTAATGCCGTGTTGGCCTTAAAAGGAAATATACAAATAGGCGACGTTTTGGGCAATGGCCCTTCTTCAGAACACATTGCTTGAAATGTGACTGCTTATATATTTAATAGTTTTCCTTTTTAGGCCACACGGTGTTATTTACGAATGTGTTGGGGATTTCCCACTATAGATATGCTCATCAGATGGCGGCAGTCAAACTGAAATGACTCTTTTTGTCCAAAATTTATATCCGTATAATTCTCCAATTAGAATTTTTTTATTTTACCATACAAAGTGAAAACCGAACTTCCGCATTGCGGCGGTGTCTTTTGCAGGAACCGGCAAGTCGCCTCACGAGATAACTAATTTTGATCGCGGCCAGGTGGCCCCTGGGCTCGAACCCAGGCTTCAGCGGTGCTGGTCAAATTCTCCGACCGCTAGCTGTACCTTCCAACTACCTCCAGCGTCATTTACTTGAATGAACAGACGAGGTCTCCAGCAAATAAGCAGGGCTCCTATATTGTACATGCAAG